CGGTCTTCGACCTATCCGACTATTTTTTTTATCTTACTTGTTCAATGTATTATTTTTTGTTCATATTATCGTTGTTTTCTTATTCTTCTCCTTTTTCTTTATTTTTTAGCTTTTCTATTCTTTGTTTGATCCTTCTTATCTTTCATTGTTTTTGACTATTTCTTCTTATGTATTGTATTCATCTTCTTTGACTTCTTGATTTTTTTTCATTCGGTTTTTTCTTCGCTTTTCTGTTGATTTTTTTTGTTTTATTTGTCTGCCCCTTCTTCTTTGTTTTATTTTTATTGTCTTTGTATTCTCTAATTTCTTATTCTTCAACATCTTCTACTATTCTTCTTTTGTTTTTATTAGCCGTTTTTATCTTCTGCTTTTTACTTCTTCTTGGTCATTTTTGTCTTATCCAAACTTTTTTTTCTTTCTAATTTTCGTTTGTCTTTTTCGCATCTTTACTTTCTTATTTTTATTTTCTTTTTCATCTTCTTATACTTTATTTTCTTCATCTACTATTTTTGTTCTTCTTTTTCTTTCAGTTTTCTTCTTCAACTTTGAGTTCTTCATCTCCTTATCATTTTTCTTCTTCACTATTTTCTGTTACCCATCTTGATCTTATTGTTCATGGTCTAGGACTTTTTGTTCATTTTTTCCTCATTTTTTTTACGTTTTCGTCAACTCTATGTTCTTCTATATGTTTCAATTTATCTTTTTCTCTTCTTTTTCTACTTCGTTTTTCCCTTTTTCCCTTTTTCTGTTTTTCCTCTGCGTCCTGCTAGAGTTTTTGGCCTCTCTTACATTATTCCAAAAATAAACAGAATTCAGAAAGCCATATTTATAACAAACAAAAAAACAAAAGACTTAAAACCTGTTCATTAGACAATAAAGATGATTTATGATATGTTGATATGGTTTTAATCACGTTAAGTAAGGAAGAATAACTGACAACACAAAACAACAAAATATAATCTATGAACACTACTACTGGTATTGAAAAACGGAAAAAAACAATAGAAAAAATCGAAAATTGATTTACAAAAAAATAAAGACGGTAAACAAAACAACGAAAAGCCGACCAATGTAGAAACCAAACCACAATTGAGCTTAAGATACATTTTAAAAAGTAATATATATATTTATATATAGCTCTCAACTTAAGCTAGGATTTCCCATATCACATGTACATTTTTTTCCAGATAATCTCGCTCAACAGATAATCCGATTGAAATTATCTTAATATTATCAAAATAACTAAAAGTGGCAGCAAAATTGTTATACAAACTACGAAAATTAATTAATTAATTAAGGATATTTAAAAATATTTTATTAATGAATAAAGGGGAATTAGTTACCTAGATTGAATGAGAGACCTTATAGCGAAAAATTTACTTCGCATATATTATATATGATATGATTTTAAATGTTTTTTTGATTAAATTCCAATTTTTAATTTTTCGTTATTTTCTATTTGAAATATTTTTTGATTAAATTTCGATTTTTAATAATTTTTATTAAATTTAAATGTTTTTTTTAATAAATTTCGATTTTCAACAATTTTTTCATTAATTTACGATTTTTAATATTTTTATTTAATTTACGATTTTTGATAATTTTTAATTAATTTAAAATTTTTATTAAATTTTTTATTAAATTTAATTTTAAAAAATATAAAGAGGGATAAATGGTAATTAGCCATCCTGAGATTAAATGAGAGAGCTTGAACTCAAAATTTTACTTTGCTTATAATATATATGATATATGATATGATTTTAAATGTTTTTTTGATTAACTTCCAATTTTTAAATTTTTGTTATTTTCTATTTGAAATATGTTTTGATTAAATTTCGATTTTTAATAAATTTTATTAAATTTAAATGTTTTTTTATTAAATTTAGATTTTTAACAATTTTTTAGTAATTTACGATTTTTAATATTTGTATTTAATTTATGATTTTAAATAATTTTTAATTAATTTACGATTTTTAATATATTTTTTTATTAAATTTAATTTTTAAAAATATAAGGAGGGGTAAAGGGTAATTAGCCATCCTAAGATTGAATCAGAGAGCTTTAACTCAAAATTTTACTTTACTTATAATATATATGATTCTGCATCCATAAAGTTGGATTCTTCAGACATTCAAGAATATATGTTCTACTATTTGATAAAACAAAAAAAGTTCAAATCAATAGTTTAATTGCACTAGATTCTAATTTTAGGACTCAATGCTTTTCTTGAAGCTTACAAATCCAATCCGCAAGAAAAAGTCCACATTGGAATCATCATGGTCATTAATAAGCTTTGATCGTTAATGTTACAAATGTGGTTTAGACGTGCATGAGCCAAAACTTTTAATAGTTTATTAGATATGCTATTGAATTTAAGAACTACATAATTCTCTTCGACTAGAAGTAATCTAAAAGGTTTTAACGCAGCACTAAACCATGTATGTTTAATATGTGTTGATTTGGTTCTTCAGTTTCTCATTCCAATGTACAAAGTATGTACATAAGTTTTATGAGGTGATTCATTTACATGAATATCCAAAATCAATCAACTTTTGACAAAGACAACATCAACTTGAGCAACTGTTGGAAGTCATGATTGAACGCTTCGGGAACTGAGTTGCAGTTCCGCATAGCATTTCACCCTCAATCTGATGGGCCAACAGAAGTGTTGAACAGATGTTTGGAGATATATTTGAGGTGCTTTACTTTTTAACAATCAAAGGTGTGGCTAAATATCTGTCATGAGCTGAATTATGATACAACTTTTTGTTTTATACAGTGACTCAATGCACACCATTTAAACTGGTGTATGGTCGAAATCCTCCATCACTGTTAGCATATGAACAAGGTTCCACAAACAATGCTGAGTTAGAAAGGATGCTTCAACAAGAGATGTATGTTGTTAGAAAAGGTTAAACAGCAGTTGTTGAGAGCTCAGAAAATGATGAAGAATAATGCTAATAAGAACATAAGAGATTTAGAGTGTTTCTGAAACTACAGCCATATAGACAGATCTCAATAATTAGCAAAATATGCCAAAAATTGGCTGCTCGTTACTATTATCCATATAAAGTTTTGGAACGAATTAGGAAAGTTGCATATCGCCTTAACCTTCCAAAGGATTTTCGCATTCATCTTGTATTTTCATGTATTTCAGTTAAAGCCGGTTGTTGGTGCAGATCAGGCAGTTACTCCACTGCCTCCATCTATTACTCTGGAAGATGCAGTGTCTTTTGAATCGAAAGATTTACTGGGTACAAGATATGAGCAAAATTTTTTACTTAAACTGAGAAATTATAGAATTTATTTTTGGTTTCTTGTTGTTGTTGAAATGGCAAAACTTAACAATTATGTTAAAGAAACTTACATCATTGGATTGTTTTACCTATATGCAATCAATCATGTATGGTTATTAATCAAAATCCTAGACCGTCTCGTCAAAAAATTATAGATTGCATTTGGTTTGTGGCTATGTGGTCTAGAAGTGCATGAGCCAAAAGTTAGTCTATTAGATAATTTTTCATCAAATAGAGCAGCTACTCATTTAAAAGAAGTACATAAGTTTTGTTCTTTGTTTTGATCTTCTTAATTTGACTCGAAGTAACCCAAAAAACTATTAACGCATCCCTTAACCATGTCTAATTGTCTATGTCATGTACTCCTATATATGATTCGGTTCTTCAGTTTCTTATACCGATATTAAGAAACCGGTTAATGTCAAACGAAATCTACGACGTCGTTTAGTTCAGTTTTAGTTTCCCCATTTTCTGAGAACGAAGTCAAACAAACACGAGAGGAGCGATCTCTGAGAAGAGGAAGAAAGCGAAAGGATCTTCCATGGGCGATCTCTGAGATTCCCACGAACCTAACACAAAAATCCATCTGGTAATTTCAATCGAGATTTTCTTAGAGCATCTGATCTGGGAAGCTCGTTCTTCTTAAGTCGCGCTTTTATCAACTTTAGGGGATCATCACCTTCGTCCAGATTTCAATCGGGTGAAGGGGGTTTTTTTTTTCTCGAGAAAGTTTGAAATGGTGCTGGTATTGGCATTGGGGGATCTCCATGTACCCCATAGAGCGGCTGATTTACCCCCAAAGTTCAAATCGATGCTTGTCCCTGGGAAGATTCAACACATCATCTGCACTGGAAATCTCTGCATCAAAGTAGGGGTTTTTTTTCTTCTTAAATTTTGTATATTTCCACCTCTATTTTTTGCTTTATTTTGTTCCGTGGTTGTCTTTTCCGGATCAATCTGTCTGATACTCTGATATGAGGAAGAAAAGAGGATTCAGAGCGAGAACAGACTCTAATCAAACTTAATATGGTGGTTTTTTTTTTTTTTTGTGATGAGTCTACTTCAGTTTTATCCTGTATCGGGTTGTTCAGAGTTACTTACTTACTTGGTTGTGTGAGAAGTACCGGAAAATGGAAAAGAGGATAATGGTGAATGCTCATTTCATGTGATATGCTCGGAGCTTGTTCTGTATCTGCTAGATCGTGTAGAGTTTAATTCTTACTTGGTAGTGTGAGAGAGTCGTGGGAAGAAGATTTCCATTACCGTTTTCGATTAGATTTGTTTGTGACGATGGAATTGCAAAGTGATAAAAACTCAGCATGGATGGTCATTTATGAGAATTTGATGATGTTCTTTTAGTTGGGAGATGTGTTTATAAGCTTGCGAGGCGTTTAGTTGGTGACATTTCCTATTGTTAACTTACTTGAGTTGTCCTTATGCTGTGAAGTCATTTCTGGTTCATGTTTTTTTGTGTGGTTAAGCTTAGCATCTTTTATCTGTTTTTATAGGAAATACATGACTACTTGAAGACTATCTGCCCTGATTTGCATATAGTTCGAGGGGAGTTTGACGAAGATGCACGATACCCTGAGAACAAAACCTTGACTATCGGGCAATTCAAGCTGGGACTGTGCCACGGCCACCAGGTTCAGTTTTTTGTTCTCTTGCGCATTTCCTGATGAGCTTACTATACGAGTTAGACATTAGCACTTTCAGCATATGATAAATCCCTCATATCATACAGCATCTGTTTATTGTAATATCCGGACTATGAAAACTCAATTTGCTTGCCTTTACCTCACTGCCTTGTTGGCGTGTGTCCTGAACCAATGAGTTTAAAAGTTTGCTCGCTTATAGCTATTTGCACTTACCGTTCTAGTTATGATAAAGAACTGTGATGGAGAATAGTAAACGGGGAAAGTCTAGGATTTGAAAAAGTTTCAGCATTTTTGATTTTCTATGTTAATGTTTTACACTAAACTATGAAGGAAATGCCTTCTTTGGCGTTGTTCTTCTCTTTACCTGCGTCTAGGGTCATGAAACTTGATTTTCTGGCATCTATGTTCCTTACGAAGCCATGGTTACTTAAGTTAAAGAATTTGTGTGTGTTGGCTATTTGTAGTGATATTGAAACGAGCCTCTCTATTTGTTTGTACAGGTGATTCCATGGGGTGATTTAGATTCACTAGCCATGCTTCAAAGACAACTCGACGTGGACATACTTGTAACAGGCCATACCCACCAGTTCACAGCCTACAAACACGAGGGAGGAGTCGTGATAAACCCGGGCTCTGCAACCGGAGCTTATAGCAGCATAAACCAAGAGGTTAACCCGAGCTTTGTTCTTATGGATATCGATGGTCTTCGAGTTGTGGTCTATGTCTATGAGCTCATCGATGGAGAGGTTAAAGTCGACAAGATCGATTTCAAGAAGACATCCACTTCCAACTCTGCTCCTTAGTGCGTATTTAACAACCTGAACCCGTTTTATGTTTTCGTCTGGAAATCACAATTGAAATTTGGAACTTTCTGTAGCTTTCTTGTGAAAATAATCTTTAAAGATTTGGGAGTTTGACCACTGAGAACAATGTTTTGCAAGTCTCTTGAAGTTTATAGACTTTGGTTCAAGTGTGTACAGATAAAATTCTATTTGAGGCTGTTTTTGTCTTTAAGGTAGAGTCCGACATTTATTCTTTACACGCCGATTTAAAGTCAGTATTAACCTTCTCATTACAGATGATATTCAAATCAATCGTCCATTCCCATAGTAGCTAAATTCACGAAAAGTCTAAAACGAGTCCAAAATCATGTTCTTGGGATTATGGAGAATATATCCCTCTTGATCCTAAAGTAAACTCAATATTCACATAAAATAATACTAAGCTACAAAGCTTTTGGTAAACTGTAATACATTGTTCTCTTGAGCATTGCAACTTTCTGATTAGGATCAAGCCACTATGTATATATACATACCCAATACAAAATTTAGAACCTAAAAACCGGAAAAGGAGGAACCCATATGTCTGATCTTGTTGACTCTGAGATTATTCAGCTAGACATGAAACAATTCAAGGGAGTAATCGAATATCTTTAAAGAGAAAACAAATTCTTTCGGAAGTTTGACCCGATCCGGGCACTAGTTTGGCATGTATGTAGATTCAATCGGTTGAAGAAATCATTCCCTAGCTCATGTAAACTTTTTTTTTGTTTAATGAATTTCACATTTTAAAAAAATGTATGATTAATTATTGAATAGATCAATTTCAAAAAATGAATAGCAAAAACAAGAGAAAAAGGGTTTATTGGTGTGCATTACATAGACTTTCATTATAGACTTTTTATTTATAACATACACAATTATTGTAAACATAACTGTATGTGTCCATCAATTTGTATTATTCTATTATATGAGAAATCATAGGTAAATATTAGGGATATAATCTATTATATATTAGTGATCTTCAGGTTTCTTTAAGACCTTTTAGAAGGTGGAGGTGGACGCTTGCAGGCAGCCGCACATTCTTGGTTTGTAGCATAACATTTCTTAGGCATTCCGCTACAGCAAGAACATCGGCCTCCTCTGTTAAGGGCGCAATTTAGTGGTAAGCAAAATGATGGATCAAGACTCCCTGTGGGTGGGTCCGCACCTATAAACGAACAACAAAACCGTTAAAGAAAAATAATTATAAAAGAGGAAGATTATGTGATTGCAACGTTGATGATGATAAATGATGAAACAAAAATGTATCTATATTTCATAATTTCATATGTACATACTCTCATGTAGAGGAAAATGGGAGATCACGATGATACAAAGGATAGCGATATGTGATGTTGACATTATTGTATTTTTTTTTTCTTTTTGTAATTTAAACGTTTTTTTTTGTTTTATGTTTTTTTTTAATGGTAGAAATTTTTGAAAAGAGTAGGGATTTATATAGATAAAATGAAATTTTTAGTGCATGCCTCTATTGTGATCCATAAAAATCTGTTAGATTTGTTTGACTAGTCGTAATTCATTCTTATTCCGCACAAACAGTTTTGTATGAAAAGAATCAGTCAAACAAATTACAATATTCTTTGGAGAAATTAAATGTACAGTATGTCATAAATTTAATCTATATACACAAGTAACACAATTAACAAAATGTTTTGGATGATGGTGTCTTTATCAGAATATTTTGGTTTTGTATATTGTTTCACATATTATACCGTTTATTGCAAATGGGAAACATAGTTGTGTCTATGTTACGGATGATATATATATATATATATATATATTTTGGATTACATATATGTTAGCTTGAATGATGTTTGTTTAGACATCAGCTTGTGTGGATTTATTCTAAGTGTCAGTTTTACCTATGAGAAGAAATGAGACTAAACCTGCACAAACAACATGCACAGTCATAAAATTTGATATGAAGATGGATTCTCTTTCTGAATATAGTCCATTGATGGAGAGGTTAAAGTTGACTAGATCGATTTCAATAAGACCTCCAAAACCAACTCTTCTGGTAACAAAAAAAGATCGGAATGGAACCATCTTTTGTTCTGCTTTTCTAATTTCTTGAGCTACAAGAAACAAAAGAAGAAAGGATGTTTCGTAGATGACTCCTACATGGATGGGCGTTTCGTCTTCATCGCACGGTTCACCATCATCGGGATGGAGTAGAAGGAGGATTCGTCGGTGACGCTGGAGCCGATCGGCCTGATGTTCCAGAAGGGGCCATTGTTGGCTGTCTTTGAACCGAAACTTGCGAGGCAGGGATGGTTGGAGAACATCCTGATATGTGTCTGAGAGTAGGCGGCAGCAGCTTGTGTGAGAGGAGGGAGGTTGTGAGCAGTGCTTTTCAGCCTGTAGCCGAATTCATAGAGAGACCGCTCGTCAGCAGAGCATCTCGGAGTTTCCGGAGGGTGTTTCGGATTAGTGAGACAAACCACGACTTGGTTAGCAGCCGTGCCGTGAGGGGAACAGTCAGAAAGAGTGCATGACCCATCAAAGTATGAGGCAGCGGAGATGGCAACTTCTTTGACTTGGTTAAACCAAGCCACGCTTCGTTTCATGTGGAGGAAAGAGGAGATACTGGTCAGCTTATCGGTAGCGGCAGTGGGGACGAAGTCAAAACTAGGATAGCGTTCAGCGAATGCTTCGTTTAAACTCTGGTCCGCCTCACATTTATACTGCAAGCCGGGAGAAACGAGAAACCATTGATCATCATCGTCAAGGCCAAAAGTATGATAGCCAAAGGTAGAGACAGTGTCTTCCTTAACTGGGATGTGCTTGCCTAGTTTTGGATAAACCGGAGGGTCTTGCGTGAAGAGACGGTTTAGGTCTTCAAGAAGAGCGAAGATGCCAGGAATATTTGGCAAGATGTGCATTTCAACGAGATCTCTTCTCATGAAATGTTCACGTCGAGCGGGTCCTGGCTTGACAGGCACGCTAGGGTATACTTTCCCTAGCGTTGTAAACAGTGCGAGGAGAGGGTTGGGAACGGGGAGGCTCTCCGGGGGATGGTTGTCTAAGAAGCGGTTCAGGAACTGATGTTGTTTGTGAGAGAGGGCGTTCACGTCGTTTCCAGCTCGTAGACACTGGATCCAGAAGAGTACACCGAAGTAAAGGCGGAGAATGTAAGGATGGTAGTTAGGGTTGGCTCGCTTGAAGTAGAAGTTATTGCATAGTGACCTGTTCATAGCGTGGACAATATAGTCCATCATGTGACAGGACGGGCTGTATTGAGATAACCTGCCCTGTGTCGGGTGCACGATAGGTCCTCCATTGTAGAGGCTGAGAAAGGAGCTTGCCTTGAGTAAGTCTTTGTCAGTGTCAAGTCTTTGGGACGCCATTAATCCAGATTCTTTGAGGAACGATTTCTCCATCTCAGAGTCTTTGGAAGATGAGACTTCGTAAATCTTTCTCTTGGACATATCGAGAGTCTAGGGACTAGGGGAGGGGCGTGAGGGCTTTATATTGGGAACAGAGAGTTTGTTGAAGAGCAAATGAAACGTCTCCAATGTATTTTGACCGAATCCAGTGCTTTATGGCGTCATTTATACCCTCTTTGTTTGTTAAAATTTCACAAAATATAATTTGCTATATAAATCGATTTTTTTATTGCCACTAGAATCTGCTTCACGTTGCACGGTATTTTATTGTACTTTGAAATTTACACTGATTGCTTTTGAAAAACAAAACAACGAAAACAAAAAAAAAATCACTAATCACAAAGACACAAGTTATAATAATTTTTATTTATCAATTTCTGGTTCTTAATTATTTACTTTGAACTATATATGTCTTTTTATTGTTTGTTGATAACATCAAAACTAACATGGCATCAATGGGAAGTGAGCCTAACCTAATAGGCATTCATCCAATGGTGATATTGTAGAAAAATTGTAGTTTTCAAAGAATTTGAAAATTGGTGTAGTTTCCAAAATCAAATCTCCCTTTTTAAAAATCAAATTTCCTCAAAAATAAAATTTGAAAATAATGTCAAATGGACGGATAAAATGAAAGTACAAATCTTATTACAATGATATGGCGAATTATTCATGTACGAGAGAGAGAAAGTCCTCCACATAATAAAATCGAGCCCTCGAAATTAACTAAAACTTAGTGACGAGCCCCAAATTATTAAAATGATCATCGAAAAACAACAAAGTAAACTTCCAAAAACCTGACCTGACCCGACCCGACCCGATGAGAGCAATCTACCCAAAAAAACACTAAAAACCCGACCCAGTAAAATCAATGAGCAGTGAACCTGAAGAGCATAACATGCAAATAGCTCTCTCCAGGATTCACAATCTGCGACGGGAAATTATTGTGGTTCACCGAATCCGGGAACCCTTGCGTCTCCAGACACAACCCCGCGTGTTTCTTGTAAACCGCTCTTTCTTTTCCGGCGACACGTGTCAGCAAATTACTCGTGTAAAACTGAACTCCGGGCTGGTTACTCCACAGCTCCATCTTCCTCCCGGTGGATTCCTCCGAAACAATCGCCGTTTTCCTCAGATGTTTCCCGGCGATTCCGTCGATCACGTAATTGATGTCGTAGCCGCCGGGTAATTCGTCGATTCGGCTTCCGATCTCGCGTGGCTCGAGGAAATCGTATGGTGTTCCTTCGATCGCGGTGATTTCGCCGGTCGGGATGAGTTTTTTGTCGACGGGGGTGATTTTTCCGGCGAGAAGCTGGATTTTGTGGGAGAGGATGTCGCCGGAGTTGTGGCTGTGGAGGTTCCAGTATGTGTGGAGGGCTAAGTTGATCGGTGTTGGTTTGTTGATTGGCTTTGCCTCCATTTTCACGGCGAGTTTGTTTTCTCCGATTAACATGTACGTCACTTTCACTGTCACGTTTCCGGGGAAACCTGTCGAATTAATAAATTACATTAATTTTAAAAAAAATGACTAAATGAAAAATAATAAATCTTCATTTAAAAAGCCCCAAAGTTTAAGAAATTTGATGTTTCTGACAAATAAAATATGTGTGGTTGTTGTAAGTTTAGAAGAAAAACCAAATACATACTATGAATTAGAGTTAGTATTCATTTTCTCAATATTTTAATTTCGCCTTAAAACTCAATAAATGATAATACGATCTATTAGTATTAGAGAAATAAAGTATGGTAAATATGTTAGTATTATTTACCTTCTTCACCGTCGAAGCTATCGTATTTGAAAGTAATGTGGCTAGTGGGAACGTAGTTTTCGACTGACCAAATCACATCGCTGAATCCCTTTGCACCACCTGAGTTAACAAATTAAAAATTAATATTTTAAAATAAATCTGACTATAAGGAAAATTCCAAATAAATGAAATAATTCGAAGAATTATGAAAAAGTTAGGTGGTAAATAAAAAGTACCATGGAGAGTGTTATGGCCTTCGTTGGGATCGGTTTTGTACATTTGGCCATTCAATTCGAACTCAGCACCTCCAATTCTATTAGCCACTCTTCCCACAATTGCTCCAAAATAAGTTGTGTCATTCTACATAAAAAGGTCCAAAGCAACGAAAATTAAAACTAATTTTTTCTTAATATAATATGATTTAACGTCTAACGTCACGTGAGTGGTGAGACTTATGTCTGTTAATAAGTGGATATTGGACAACGTGACGATCATAAAGGAGATACTTTTCAGCCGAAAATATAGTGCTTATGATCCAAACAAAAATTTTTTTGACAAAAAACAAAATTTGATTGAATGAAATACAAATTCAAAATTAAAAAGGTAGAAAATTGAAAATCAAAAATTACCTTGTAACCATCGACAGTATCGAATCCGAGAACAACATCGTCTTGCTTTCCTGAATCACATCAGAACAATAGACAATAAAAAAGATCAGATCTAAAACAGAAAATGGGAAGAGAGAGAGAGAGAGAAAGAGAGAGAAAGAGAAGGAGAGAGAAAGAGAGACCATGTCTGTCGGGGAGAAGAAGAGAGGTCATGACAGCACCATAGTTAGTGAAGGTAACAGACAAGTTTCCTCTGGTTAGCTTATAGGTTTGGATCTCTTCACATAGACTGTAAGTAACACAACATAACAACAATAACACCAACATCAATCTCTTGGCCATTGTTTTTTCAGATCAATTAAAATTGATGAGTAATGAGAGAGAGAAATGGAAAGAGAGGGAGAGAGAGAGAAAGTTTGGATTTTTTTTTCTTTTTTCTTGTTCTGTGTGAATGTGTTTGTATCCTTTATCCTATTTATATTAATGTAGATTAGAGAGACGAGATCTCTTACTATTATCCGAGACTTTTCAATTTTTGTGTTTGTAATTTCGATTTTAGAAGATATTTTAGCTTGATTGACTTTTGAATATTATTTCTAAAATTTATAGTAGGATTTTTTGTTCTTTCCATAATTCCTTGTTAAACTTTATTTCTCAATTATATATTCAAAACTAACAATTGTGTTTCTTGGGAAGCCTATTAATTCACAAAACATCCTTAAGCCAAATTAGTAAATATCTTAAGTTTCAAGAATTAGCCTTAGTCTAAATGAAAATGAAGGCAAAATATTACCATAGGAACTGAAAAATAGGAACTGAATTAACACTTATCAGTTCTTTTAATTGTCCCATATATTTTATTGTTCTTTTAAATGTCTTTTCAAGAAATAATATCCTCTTTTTTTTACATCACGAATAATTTTCTATTTTAGTATATAGGGATTTCTATCTTTTTTACATCACGAATATTATTTCTCTTTTTTCTTTTTTTTCTTTTGTCTTTTCTATGAGTTTGGTATGTGTGCTAATGTGCTATCGATCGTAAACACAAACAATATCCCATGCGTGAATGCGTACGCCGGACCAATAGCAACAAGAATTCTTTTTTTCTCTCTATGACTATCAGTGGGTGCAAAATTATTTAGTTTGAAAGTGCATCGTCCTAAGTTAAATTGTTTTTTAAGAACAAACAAAAGAGAAAAAATGGAAACCACTAATTATGTTGTATATTTCAATTTTCAACCATCTTGTACCAAACGGAGAGTTATGCCCTTCCATGGCTTTAGGTTTTGTTTTGCACATTTGATATAATCTATTATTCAATTTTGGAACTTAGCTCCTGCATCATATTGGTCACATGTCCAACATTTTCCCCCAAAGTATAGTGGTCTCATTATTTACTTTTTTCCCCCATAAAAAGAGAAGAAGAAGAAGATTTCACAATTTTTATCGAAAAAGCAAAGAGCTTAAATTAAAGTACTAAAGGCAAAGTGTTCGCCCCAAAAAAAAAAGAGTACTAAAGCATAGAAATATAGGAGATTAGGATAGGATTAGGCAAATTAGAGTTTAGATAGCGATAAAAAGGGGATAAGATGCTGAGACTCTCCACATAGATATAGCTAGGCCACCGAGTCAACGACGACTCATTATTACAAAAAAAATAAAAAAATTAACTAATTATATGTGGACTAATGTCGTTCCAATTTTAGAAAAGAAGCTCCTTATTAACTATTTACGGAAATAAATGAGTTTGAGAATGTGTAAGAACTTAAGATTTGCGTTTTCAATCACACATTGCCCCCCCCCCAAACGAATCTATAAAATATTAGGTGAGATGTGCTAAAGTATCTACATGTATTAATAAAATTTTATAAGCATATATATGTATATATATGTAATATGTGTGTGTTACATTTATTTTTATTTTTAAACCTGCATAAGTATAACGAAAATATTTAATTAGAATATCATTACACGTAAGTTTACAAGGAAAGATTGAGATTGATCAAGAAAAGAAATTAAAAGAGTTCCTAACTCAAAGTTTGAGCAACCTTTACAAAAACATCTTCAAGAGTTGTGTCTGCAAGTCCCCAAGCAACCACCGGAAACATCATCTTCGCCTTCGCCACTGCCTGAAACACCTCAGCGATCTTCGTCTCTTTCTTTGGCAGCTCAAACTTCTGAGTCCCCGATGTTCGATAAATCTTCTTTGCATTCTCAGAGATGTTATGCACTAATTGCTCCACTTCTTGCTCGTGTTCCTCTGAGGTTGTCACGGTCAATACATAGGATCCTCCATATCTACCCTTCAACTGTCATTAAGGTTTCAATTTAAAACTCTCTTCATGTTTTGAACATTGGTCGTTATTACGGTTTATTCTATGTTTCCACTTATTTAAGTATAATTATGATGTGTTTTAGTTCTTACCTCCTTTGGTTTGCCTATGCATTGCAAACTTCCATCGACGAAAATGCCAAGACGATCACACAATACTTCTGCCTCCTCCATTGAATGAGCTGAAACACAAAACGAGAGCTAAAGTCTTTCTTTTTTGAAGGCATAAAAGAAGCAGAGCAAAAAACAGAAGCTTAGATGACTCTACTGGTGAGTATTATCGCCGCTTTTCGCTTAGCCCGTTTCACTACATCCCATAAACTCTTTCTCGAGGCTGGATCAAGCCCTGTACTTGGCTCATCCATGTAAACAACCTTGAAAAATTTCCTCAAAAAGACTTGTTACGTATAAGAAGCTAATAGACATATCATAGATGTCTAGATATCAAGAGAGGTTTCAAGACATACTTTAGGGTTTCCTATAAGAGAAATGGCGACGCTGAGCCGTCTCTTCATCCCTCCACTGTATTTCCCAACTTGTTTGTCGCCATTTCCTCCATGGAAAAGGTTGACACTGCGAAGCGAATCTTCCACAGCCTATAAACCAGATAAAATTCATCACTTGTTAATTTACTTGACTCATAAGTTATCCACAAACCAACCAAGTTATAACCTAACTTACTTGTTTTAAGACAGAACCTTTGAGATTCTTGAGCCTTCCATAAAACAGTAAATGTTCTCTTCCACTCAATTTCTCCCACAAAAGACTGGAAAATTAAAATGAATTAAGAGATAGTGTAGCCTCGCAGAAAAGAAACAAACTGAGCTAGAGATTAAGATTACTCGTGTTGCGGACAGACTCCAATCGTTGTATATATCCGGTCCATATCGGTTAGTATGTCAAGACCTTGGACAAATGCTGTGCCAGATGATGGTTTAGTAATTCCTGTCATCTACAAAGGACATTAGAGTGCCAAACACGTTAACCATTGGATATGCGCCATTGACTCATTAACACGGGACTATAAAGGGCGTTAATCAATAGATATGAACCGTACGAACCATGTTGATAAAAGAGGTTTTGCCTGCTCCATTAGGACCAAGCATGCCAAAGCATTCTCCTTGAGGTAAAGCAATAGATAATCCTCTTACCGCGAGTTTCTGAGGATTCCCGTCCTTACCTGAGTACACCTTCTTCAGGTTATTGCACAAAACGGCGCAGTTTTCAGTTGATTCAAGTAGATACTGCTCTACTTTCTCCCTCTGGCACAAAAGAAAGGATACATCAAAATCTTACTCAGTTTTGTCACTATTAAAACCTGATATTGATCTTGTCTCTGTTTACCTCTTGGCACACATCTGGTTTCTCCATTTCGATGACAACTTTGGAAATTTGGCTCTGAGAAAAGTGATGTTGTTTCTTCTTTGAAGAATTTTGCATGAGGAAGAACAATGGATGTTTCCTGGAGTAAGTGATTTGATCAATGTAATATGCTGAAGCAAGCAGCAATAGCCACTCAATGAGCATGATACAAGTCACTTCTTTCATTCCATTCTCAAAATTTCCCCATCTCATTCCTTCAACACCACGGTAATCTCCGGCAAATGCAGATTGTGATAACTCATATAGCCCACGGTACAAAGAAAAGCCAGGATATAGCTCCATTGCAATGATCCATCCTCCTAGAGAAAATCACATGAATCACAATAAAACATGCTCGGATTCGACCAGAAGAAAAAGCTTGATTCGGGTTTCAAGAACTTACTTGGGAAGTGAGGATCTTCCAAGAAGAATTGGAAAAGAAAGATTCCTAAGAGCCCGGTTCCAAAGACATATATGTATGCAATAACTGAAATTTCAAATGAAAATTGTAACGATTATGATAACTATTTGATGAATCTTGAATCAAACCGTGATGAACACTGTACCTGTAGCAGTTTTAACATCTGAAAACATTGCAGAGGCTAAAAAAGCGATTGATATTTGAAGGTTTATGCATATCAGGAAGAACACAAGTTGGATACTGTAGTCATTTAGCCTGAAGAAGTTTAACCCTGCAAGAGAAGTAAAAGCATCAAGAACAGAGAAGGAACATAGAAAGAGATTAGGAGGGAAATATATTTGTAAATTCGAAGGAATTTGTAGTATAGTAGTTACCGATTGCTGAACCGAATAACGCGAAGCACAACATGTAGAGAAACGATATGAGGAAAAAATAAGTGTATGAAACTATCCAGTAAGGAGCATCACCAAGTCCATGCATTTTCATCATGATTCTTAATCTCTGTTGTTTCTCATAGACCAGAGTTGTTAAAATTACCTATAATAATGAGCCAGAGAAAACTGCAATGAAACCTGAGATGAGGAATGTTTTCAAATGTTTCAATGAGAGAATCCAAAGACTTACAGGGAATAACAACAGAATGACCCATGTGAAGAAGAGTGGGCCGATTAGAGAGGCGATGTCTAGGCCCAGTTTCGTCTCTGGCTTAGGCATTTCTTTGACATACTCAAAGAGTATCTTTGTCTCAGAACCTTTTAGGAAATCAAGATATGCATTAGATGCCTACAAAATTACAGAAAAAAAATTTGAACACAAAATTATCTAGTGAATGATAACATCTTTGTAAGTTTGAGTAAAGGCTTAGGCAAAAATGCACCATATTGACTAAGCGAGGGACTCGAATCAGAGCCATAGGCCGAACCACTGTATCGTTCTTGTAGGTAGAGTTGTACCAAACACTAACATTGAGAATGTTCCTATTTGTGTTCTGAAAATCAAAGGCTATAAAATGGAAACTTAAGACACACAACACTATATAAAGAAATATAGGTGTGAGATGAGATGATGGTAAGAGAGACCTGCAGCATATTCGTTGATCTTCTCGTCTGGATTTCCTTTTCGATAACCCCTGAATAGCTCGTTGTTCACATCAGAAGAACTATTCTGCCACAAATTTAATCCTTGGACACAGTTTATCTCTAGACTCAGGGGAAACACACCAAAAAAAAAAAATCCTCTGTTTTTAGAGCATTCTTGAATGCATCTAGATTTCGAAGAATAATTTGGAAATTTTTGTTATACCTTTGGGGAAAGCAAGAGGAAATTGGTCAATTAAAGTTGAGAAAGAAGAGTTTGGTGAGCATTCATGTTGGATATTGTAGATGGGAAGATCTGAGAGGAAAGTAGAGTCCATATAATTGGTGTATGCAGGCAAAGATGATGAGCCCTGCATAAAAATTATTAAGTTAGAGGATCAAAATGAAGCAAAACAGTCACACAGAAAAATTAGATCCAAGAACATACCAAGACATAATTGGCTAAATCCCCATCAAACTCGGAAAAATTGGTATACATATTCCGCATTAGAACTGTAAAACCAAACAATTTACTGAACATAAAAGAGAAACAAATAATAAATTATTCCATTTACTAAACAAGTAGATATTTAGGGTTTATACTTTTTCCAAGCGACTGATTTTTCCCAGTGAAGAAAAACGTTGCAGGGGAAGAACGGCTCGGGTATGGAGCCACGGCTCGGTATTGAGGAGCCGGGATTTGAAGTAAAGGAGTCCATTGTGGTGGTTTAGGAATGGCGCAAAACGCTGCTTGCTCTGAAGTCGAATACCTTAAGCCACAAGTTTTCTCATTCAAGCAGCCACATTGACCATGGACGTCGTTGAATTGAGAGTCGAAGAGCATCTGAATAACAAGGAGAAGGAAACAGAGGAAGAAAGGGATCGTGACGAGACGTATATTGCTCCATATGTTCCGTTTCTACATTAAAGGCAACAAAATCTCATCGTGAGTGTTACTCTGTTTTAGTCGTTTAAGTAAAATCTCTGAGAAAATTTGAAAACCTGGAAAACAAAATTCTTCCGAAGTAATGCATCGGCTTGAGTCAAGAAACTTGCAGGACTCGATTCCGCCATAACGGAGAATGTAAGAAGACTTGTTAAAGTCGAATAATGGAACCTCGAAATGTTTTCGTGGATGCATACATATAAGAACACCAAGAAAGGCATACATTCTAATAGCTTATGATAAGTTATATCAATAAATTGAATGAATAAGGGATTACGTTTTTAAAGTATACACGTTACTGAAGTGGCATACATGTATTGGACACTGGGACTGTATTTTCTTGTAACCTCTTTTCGTGTAGGTCAAGTAATAGTCTTGCTTGCATCACTCACCCAAGAAATTTACTCTACCAAAACTTACACAAATATTCATATAATACGAAGACTATGGGTTCCATTGCCACAAATATCTCAAGATATTTCGAGTTAAGCTAGGACGCCAAATAAATTCCTAATTTGATAGACAATACATGAAATCTTGATAATGTGTATCCAATAGAAATTGATCACTGACCTTAACCAAAATGTCATTAATGTAATTCACAAAATCGTAATTCGTAAATATATTTCCAAGCAATATACACAAAATCTTTCAGTCACTAACTTTGGTATCATATAGTAGCAATTTAACATACACAAACAAATATTGACGTTGGAAGTATGAACCGCCAATCTAAGAAGATTCAAGAGAAGACATTAAAGGCCTGACCGGTTCTAGCAACCTTGACGAAAACATCTTCAAGAGTTGTGTCCGCAAGTCCCCAAGCGAACACAGTAAAGTTGCTCTTGGCCTTCTCCACTGCCTGAAACACCTCTGAGATTCGCACCTCCTCCTTTGGGAGCTCAAATTTCTGAGTTCCTGCGATGTGATATATCTTCTTGGCGTTTGGGGAAACATCTTGAATCAGCTTCTCAACGTTTCCCTCGTGTTCTGAAGATGTTGTCATTGTAAACACATAAGATCCACCATACCGGCCCTTGAGCTCTTTTGGGTTGCCAATGCATTGCAAGCCTCCGTCTACGAAGATCCCTAACCGGTCACAAAGAAACTCTGCTTCTTCCATTGAGTGGGTTGTGAGGATTATGGCTGTGTTTTGCTTAGCACGCTTGATTACAGTCCACAGGTTCTTTCTCGAGGCTGGATCAAGTCCTGTGCTTGGCTCATCCATATAAACCACCTTCAAAAGGACAAGAAAAAATGAGCTCAGCTCTAAGTGTACTATTTCTAAAGGCCGTGGTTACAAATAGTAAGAGATTTGGTGTACCTTAGGACTTCCGATAAGTGAAATGGCTACGCTCAGCCGCCTTTTCATACCTCCGCTGTATTTCCCAGCAAGTTTGTCGGCAACTCCTCCGTGGAAAAGGTTTACACTCTTTAGAGACTCTTCCACAGCCTAATGAAAGGTAAATAATGAATTGAGATATAAATGTATCATCACTAAACGGACGTTTCGATAACTTTTGGAGTAATAGAGAAGAGAAATAAGATTGATAACATTACTTGTTCAAGAACAGAGCCTTTAAGATTCTTAAGTCTCCCGTAAAACAGCAGATGTTCCCTTCCTGTCAGCGTCTCCCAGAGCAAACTGATATATAGCAAACAATAAGATAACGATAAAAACAGCTACACTCTCTATACTGGAACAAGAGAAACTGCTTGAGTGTTCTTTCCTGTCGAAGAAAAAAATGAAATGAGTTTCAAGGAATTTAATTACTCGTGCTGCGGGCATACGCCCATGCTGGTGTATACTCTGTCCATATCACTGCATATATCCAAACCCTGAACAAGCCCTGTCCCTGATGTTGGTTTCAGGAGGCCAGTCATCTGGAGGAAAATACAGTATATATTACTAAGGCTGCAATATCCAATAAAGGATTTAGTCCATTTGGGTACTGACCATATTGATGAAGGAGGTTTTTCCAGCACCATTGGGCCCTAACATGCCAAAACATTCTCCTGAAGGCACAGCGAGAGATAACCCACGAACTGCCAACTTCGGCGGGTTCCCATCCCTACCAGGATACACCTTCTTCAAGTTATCACATACAATCGCGTGGCTTGTGCTCGGCTCAAGCATCAGCTGCTCGACTTTTTCTCTCTGATTTGCACCAATTTATTTTTCAGAACCAGAGCTATCAAGAACATGGAATGGATTGTGAATACTTTTGTCATACCTCCTGATTGACATCTGGTTTTTCCATTTCGACGAAGACTTTGGAGCCTTGCCTCTGCAAACTAGGCCTTCGCATAGAAGAGGATTTCTTGAAAGGGTTTTTCAAGAAGAACAAGAGATCTTTTCCTGATGAAGAAATCTTATCGACGTAGTATGCTGCAACGAGTGCGACAAACCACTCGACGATAATGATGCAAAAGATTTCATCCATTGCACTGTCACTGAAATCTTTCCACTTCATCCCATCTGCCCCTCTCAGGTTACCGCGGAAAGCAAATTGTGAGAATTCATACAGCCCACGGTATAAAGAGAAGGCAGGATACAACTCGAGGACAATAATCCAGCCTCCTGGAAAAGTATAATTGAGTTGCAATCGTTGTTTCAGTTGTGAGAAGAAACACATAAACGAGTGTATTAAATATTGCTCTTCAAGTTAAATCTTAATAACTTACTAGGAAATGATGAATCTTGAATCAGAAACTGGAGTAGAAACGAGCCCATAAGTCCAGATCCAAACACGTATATGTAAGCAGAAACTATAATTTAGACAGAAGAGAAAACCCATTAATTCCTTTAAACCCCAACATGTGCTTGAACAAATTCAAGAAGTAAGATTTTTTGTACCTGTTGATGTCTTGACCTTTGAAAATACTGAAGAAACTAAAAAGCATAGGGAGATTTGCAGATTTACATAAAGAAAATAGAAAGTGAACTGGATACTGTAGTCATTAAGCCGAAAGAAGTTGAGTCCTGCAAGGAACCAGCATCTATAGTAAGCTTAGAGAGCGGAAATTTATCTAAATTACAAAACATAATGTAAGAATTGTATTGACAGTGAGGCTTCAGTTACCTATTACTGACCCAAAAACCATCAAGATTATAACGTAAAACGTAGATATGGCGAGAAAATAGGCGTACGAAATCATCCAATATGGACCATCTCCTAGCCCATGCATTTTCATTATGATTCTTAGACGCTCCTGTTTCTCATACACCAATGAAGATAAGATCACCTGCATACAAATGGCTCTAAGTATTTGACGTTCATATCTTGTGCTGGATAGACTTCAGAGAAAGCAGAATTCTTGTCCTTTCCATGATTCATAGATCATTATACATTAGGGTGAATATATGTAGAAGAAAAGCCTAAAGATTAAAAGCAAACTTACAGGGAAGAGAAGAAGAATAACCCATGAGAAGAAAAGAGGGCCAATTAATGATGCGATGTCTAGACGAAGGCTAGTTTCTGGTTTAGGCATTTCTTTGACATATTCGAACAACATCCTTGTTCCGGGGCCTTGCAGAAACTGAAGGTAAGCATTTGACACCTGCAGTTTGGCAAAGTGTAAGCATCAGTTCAATCATGAATAGGGTCCCACTTGGAAATGAGCATATTCAAAATGCAATGATGAGGACATCTTGTGTACATTGTTGTTTTCTTACCAAATTGACTGAGCGGGAAACTCGAACCAACGTTCCAGGCCTATTTCTTGAACCATCGTTGTATGTTGAATTATACCATATGTGCACATTAAAGTTGTTCCTATCCGTGTTCAAAAGATCGTATGCTAAGGCGACAAAAACGCAGACAGGAGGAGTCAGAAATCTCGTGTGCATATTAAGCACTGTTATAGATAAATGACGGAGAAGGTGAATAACCTGCAGCAATCTCATTTGCTTTCCCCTCAGGATTTCCTTTCTGATAACCCTTGAATATCACATCATTGACCTCTATGGACTTATTTCGCCAGATATTCAATTCTTGAACACATCTCAATTCTGGTTTTGACACAACCATTAAGTTAATCCTCTTCAACGATGAATGAGGAAAATATATGGTAGAAACAAAATAGAATGTTAAACAAACTTGGAATATGTTGTATGATCGGAAACTGAATTACCTTTCTGAAACTCGAGAGGTTTTTGTCCGAATGAGAATGGCAACGTAGCGTTTGAAATGCACCGAGATCGGATATTGTAGATGGGATCATTTGAGGCAATCCCTGGATCAAGATAATTGGTGAAATCTGCCTCTCTTGCTGTACCCTGATAAAATGCGCAAGAAGCTAAGACACAGATGTACGCACTTCATAGTGGAAACAAACAGAATTCTACCAGAGAACTTACCAAGACATTGTTAGCTAAATCCTGTAAGAGATCAGAGGAGTTCACCGTTACAGAACTAGTGAGCAGATTGTCAAATAAGCCTAGAGACAACACAAAGATTAGTTCTTCAAAGAGAAAAACCACGCCTAAAGAAGAAGACAAAGGAGAGAAAAGAGGCAATACTTGTTCCAACGGAACGGTTATTCCCAGTAAAAAGTATGGTTACAGGACAAGTTCCTGTTCTTCTGCAAGATTCATCAGGCAGGCCAATGTCCGAGAGGAAACTGGTACGAACAGCACGGCTTTCAGGAGGCGGAATCTGCAACAACGGGGGCCATCGTGGAGGACTAGCGATGGAACAAAAGAATGCTTGATCTGGAGACGAAAACTCTATACCGCAAGACTCCTTCTCGCACTTGCCAGCTTCACTCGTGACAGTACATTGACAACCACAGCGATTCTCATCCGCGTTATTAACCTGTGTATCGAACAGGACTTGTATTGCCACTAGAAATAGGCAGAGCATGAAAGGGATCATGATAATCCAAAGATTGCTCCTTAGATTCCGTTTCTACACCACACACATAGACACATACATATACAGTCAAATTAGAGCTATCGAAATTACTAACATTTCATTATAGCAGAAAGTTTATTTCGATTTCAGGTTTCAAAAGACTAAGCAAAAGCGTTCGCAACCTCTTATTTGTAAGTGGATTCTCGCAATTAGCATCAATGGATGTTGAACTTGGGGATACTTACATCTAATTACACTGAAATACATAACAAATATCTGTAATTCCTTCAGAAATTCGGTCAACCAGCCAGTAATTTCATTGTAAATTTGATCCATCAAGTTCCCTAAATAGCGATTAGCTCTCCAAATCACGATTTTAATCACATAAGGCGTTTCTACGTACGTACACGAAACGAAACTCGTATACAAAATATAGTATAAATTGGGTACCGTAGAGGAAACGAAAACGCAAACCTGATAGGTTAAGTTTTTCCTAAGCAAGGCATTGGCTCGCGTCGAGAAACTGGCAGGACCAGGATCCGCCATTAATGAAGAAGACGAAGAAAAAGAAGAAGATTCGTTCTCGTTCTTCTTCTCTGTTTCTTCTATTTTACTCTTCCGCTTCGCTGAATTAATTTGTTTTTAATCTTTTGGGTTAATTTTTAAAAACCGAATCCTAATTTTTTCAACTGTTAAAAAGGAACATACCACCACCACCGCCTATTGGTCATATAGTGGCCGGAGAGAAGGAGAACAGACCACAGATCAGATACATGATTCTGAAATTACTATTATACCCTCATGCACACGCTTTATCATTATTTTTCAGTTATTTTATCCTCGAATTTGCTATTAGTTTTTAGGATTTTTATTTTGGTCAAACAAGAATAAAAAAGGTGATTTTCAACGAAATCAAGAAAGCGACCATCGTGAAATGTTCAATGTAAATTTTGCACGAAGCTGCAAAGGATTGATCCCACGACTACTAGATTCTTAAACTAGTGGAAGAGGGAGAGTTTCAATTTGTTTTCTTCGTTGAATAAAGTTTTTAATTGACATGTTATATGATTAATGTCGTCATCCCAGACGTAATCACGTGTGAAATGATTAAACTAGTCGATTTTAATGTCTCACGTACAAATGTCGGGTAATCTGTTGACAATGATATTATGTCAATTTCTTTTTAAAAATAGTAATAAAAAACAACTTTTTTCAAATTCAAACCAAATTTTACTAAGTCGTCGTTACTTGGGCAAGAAGCAATGCATGATGCGATAAAAACAAAAAAAAAAAAACTCCAAAAAAATAAACAAATATAAGAAAAGTCTATTTTAATACGAAAATTTTGTTCATCTATGAATAGAATTTCTTCGATAAGTATTTGCCAACTACTCCTTTATCTTCTTATATAGAATTGATGAGTAATTAAAATTAAGTTTGTCAGGTTACGGTTGGATTTTTTAATATTCTTTAACGAAATATATCCGGTCGATTCTGGAGTTAAACATATACTTTTTTTGTTTGTTTTAAGTTAAACAAATATCTAGCCTGCTCTGATCATGAATCCGAAACATATCAGAACTATGTTTAATCGAACATTGCGAAGAGTTGTCATTTCCAAACCTCTGCATGACCAACTTAGCACACACGAGCAAATATTGACGTTGAACAGAAAAAAAAAAGAGAAAAGATTCAAGAAAATACATTAAGGGGGTGTTATTCAATCATGGTTTTTAATAGAATTTAAATCCAACCACAATCCACTATTATTCAACTAATGATTCTAAATAATGTTTTAAAATCAAGTGTTATTGGTTCTTTTGATTGTAAATCATATTTAAAAGGTTTTAAAGTTTGGTGTTATTCAATAAAGATTTCAAATCTTTCATTAAAATCCAGTGTTATTCAAAACTAAATAATTTTTAAAATCTTTGTACATTAAGTCATTTCAAATCAATTCTAATAGAGTTTTATAAGTAAATTATTAGAATCAAAATCCAGTGTATATTGCAGAGATTTTAGAATCTAAACAAATGAATCCATCAAACTGATATCAATTTTTAAATCTAGAAGATTATAAAACATAGAAAATTCATTTCAAATTCATGATTGAACAACACCCCCTAAAATTCTGAGCACTTCTAGCAACCTTAATGAAAACATCTTCAAGAGTTGTGTCCGCAAGTCCCCAAGCAAACACTTTGAAACGGCTCTTGGCCTTCTCCACCGCTTGGAACACTTTTGAGATCCGAACTTCCTCTTTTGGGATCTCGAATATCTTTGTCCCTGCGATGTGATATATCTTCTTGGCGTTTGGACAAAAATCTTGAACCAACAGCTCCATATCTTGCTCGTGTTCTGATGCTGTTGTCATTGTAAATACATAAGATCCACCATATCTTCTCTTTAGCTCTTTTGGGTTCCCTATGCATTGTAACCTTCCATCTACGAAAATCCCTAATCGGTCACAGAGAAACTCTGCTTCTTCCATTGAATGAGTCGTGAGGATTATCGCAGTCTTTTCGCACGTTTGATGACTGTCCCATAGATTCATTCTTGAAGCTGGATCAAGTCCTGTGCTTGGCTCATCCATATAAACCACCTTTTTAAACGAATGACCAAATGAAATAAAGGATTTGTCAGAGCTTGGAACACTTAAACTTGTATAGCTCTTTACTATTTCGAAAGCCAATGATGCATACCTTAGGATTCCCGATAAGTGATATGGCTACACTTAGTCGTCTTTTCATACCTCCGCTGTATTTCCCAGCAGGTTTATCACCAACTCCTCCATTGAAAAGGTTGACATTCTTAAGAGACTCCTCTACTACCTAATATGCATAAAATGGATCATCCATAAACTGATATACTTCTAGAGTTACACAGAAGGGAAGTAAGACTGATATAACATACTTTTTTGAGATTAGAGCCTTTAAGATTTTTAAGTCTTCCATAAAAAAGCAGATGTTCTCTACCGGTCAGTGTCTCCCAGAGCAAACTGGTAGACATCAGAAACTTATATCAGTTCTAAAATAACATATAAAAAATGTACCAATCTATGTATTGGGAGTTAGTTTTGAGTTGTGTAGACTTCGCAAAATAAAATGTTTTCAAGAATTTGAATAATTACTCGTGTTGTGGGCATACACCCATGCTAGTGTACACTTTGTTCATATTCTTGGATATGTCCAAACCTTTAACAAACGCTGCGCCTGATATTGGTTTCACAAGTCCAGTCATCTAAAAGAAAAAGTACAATACAACTTTTATTATATATAGACAGTTTTTAAATCAGAAGGCAAGTTCAGTTGGGGACTAACCGTGTTGATGAAAGAGGTCTTTCCGGCACCATTGGGCCCTAACATTCCAAAGCATTTTCTTGAAGCCACTGCAAGAAACAACCCTCGAACTGCCATTTTTGGCGGGTTCCCATCCCTTCTTGGATACACTTTCTTGAGGTTGTCACATACAATCGCATGGCTTGTGCTCGACTCAAGCATCAATTGCTTAACTTTTTCTCTCTAATTGGATTAAATTTTCCATTGATCAAAACAGCTAGAAAATGCCAACATATTGTGAATAATCATATTGTTGTCATACCTCTTGAGCGACATCTATTTTCTCCATTTCCACGGTAACTTCAGAGCTCTGCCTTTGCAATCTAGGATTTTTTGGAGAAAGAGATTTCTTGAAAGGGTTTCTCAAGAATATAAAAACGTCTTTGGCGGATAAAGAAACTCGATCAATATAGCATGCTGCGATGAGTGTCAGAAACCATTCAAAGATTATGATGTAGAAAACTTCATATTCTGCACTATCACTGAAGTCTTTCCACTTCATCCCATCCCTCCCACTCCCATTTCTCTGAAAAGCGTATAGGGAGAATTCATTCAACCCGCGGTATAAAGAGAACCCGGATACAACTCCATGATAAAAATCCAGCCTCCTTGAGAAAGTAATGATTATATTTTAAGAATTAGTAGTTAGTTTTTAAGACTATGATTTCTTAAGGTTGTTCTTAACAGCGTACTTGGAAACGATAAATCTTCTATCAGAAACTGGAAGAGAAATGCGCCCAAGAGCCCGGATCCAAAGACGTGTATGTAAGCAACAACTACAATTCGATTATAAAACAAGACAGTGTTTCTTTTAATTAACACAAACATGTTCCTGAGCAAATTTGGAAACAAAAATGTGACTTAGTAGTACCTGATGCTGTCTCAACTTTTGAAAATGCTGAGGAAACTAGAAAGGCAATGGAGACTTGCAGATTTATGTAGAGAAAATAGAAAATGAATTGGAAGCTGTAGTCATTGAACCGGAGGAACTTCAGTCCTGCAAGAAACTATATAGCTCTGAAATATTGTTCTCTATATATAAGAAAATAATGGCATAAGATATGACAAAAGATAGAAATACCTATTGCTGACCCAAATATCATCAAGCTTATAATATACAATGTCGATATGACGAGAAAATATGCGTAGGAAATCATCCAATACGGATCATCTCCTAGGCCGTGCATTTTCATTATGATTCTTAGACGCTGCTGCTTCTCATACACCAATGAGTTCAAGATCACCTGCATACGAATTCATGCATGTAACGTTTTAAATCCCATGAGGCCATGACATGCATGTTAATTAATTTGTGCTTTCATAATCACTTTATTTTCGTTAGTGTAGGAAAACCTTTAAGCCAAGGAGAATGTTTCAAACAAAAGGGAAAAGGAGAAGACGTGGATCAATGAAACGGAAAGTTTGATAGTTTTTAAAATTGCAACCACATTCAACATCTAAGCTAGCTCTAAATTCTAACAAGGCTCTATTTCTGAGATTTAGAGATCAATCATATATTGAGATGAATAAGTATTTGTAAGTCTCTTGAAAACAAACTTACAGGGAATAGAAGAAGAATAGCCCAAGTGAAGAAAATGGGGCCAATGAGAGACGCCACATCCAGGTGAAGGCTAGTTTCTTGTTTAGGCATTTCTTTCACAAAATCAAATAACATCTTCGTCCCTGGGCCTCGCAAAAGCTGAATAAGCATTCGAAACCTGAATTTTTTTTTGCAAAATCTAAGAATGGGTTTGATCAAGAGACTAGTACTAGTTATAAGAAAGGTGATACATCACTTAGTTTCTTACTAAATTGACTGAGCGAGGAACTCGGACAAACTTTACACGCCTATCTTGTAAATCGATCTTGTATGTAGAGTTATACCAGATGGTCACATTGAAGTTGTTTTCATCGGTGTCCAAGAGATCATATGCTAATAAAAGAAGCAACCAAAACAGTAAGAAAAGTGCAGGTAAACACACGAAAAGATGACAGAGAAATGGAATAACCTGCAACGACCTCATTGGTGATCCCCTCGTGGTTTCCTTGCCGATAGCCCTTGAAGATCTCGTCGTTGACCTCCATTGAGTTATTTCGCCATTGATTCAATCCTTGAACACATCTCACCTCTGCTTTGACACATCACAGCAAAAATGTTTAATTTGTCATTAGCTTTGAGTGAAGAGGCAAGGAACATCCTCTTTCACAAACTAACTTGCAAGAAATGCAATCACATTAGATTTAAAAACTTTTAATAAAAATATATGTTTTATTTATTTAATATTTCATTGAAAAAAACACACACACTTTTAGGCTGAAGCCCATAATCCAGACCCAAAACCACGACATATGTAATATTAGTTTCGTCCTAAGATCCACTCGAACCAAAGCCTAAAATCTCTAGCAGTTGAGCTATTGGCTCTTGATAATGAAACACATATAAAATCAATATAGATAAACATTAAAGTTGATGTTGTGGAATTCCATAGAAAAAAGTGCACAAAAATTTCATTGCTTGTGCTGCCTGCAAATTCAATAAGAGAAAAAAGTGCACAGAAAACTCTCCTTGCTCCTTATTTTCCACAAGATCGCCAAAAGCAGTTTCTAAACGCTCATATACTGTTTGGATTAAGCAACTTCACAAAGATGTTCAAAAGAATCCAAGAATCTCAATGCGACATGCTATGCAAAACCTTATCCTCCACGTAATGCTCATACTCTAGATCCATTTGGTGGGGTTTACAAGATCATGTGTGATCTTAAGCGCAAGATCGCATATTTTCAGGCTGAGATTAACTCAGTTCATCAGCAACTCGCTATGTATCGTTCTCTAGCTCACCCGCAGCAAATGCAAATGCAAAGGCAAAGGCAAGATCGTTCCTTTGGCTGATATTCTTATGGAGATCTATTGGAACAAGGAGAAGAATACGTTAATGCTGATGGTTATGACCAACAAAACCTTCAGCAACATCAAGAAATGATGCAGCAACAGAGTTACGAGATGTTTTTGGAGACGCCTGAACAAACCAGCAAGATAAAGCTTGGGAAGGAAGGAATCTCAGATCTGGAACAAAACAATCTCTTGAGCCAGTACTCATCATGCTGTCGCAGGTCATTTAAGTCTTTTCGTTTTTTAGTCTTATGTGTTTTTATAGTTCAGGGCCTCAGGCTCAGGTTTAGGCTTTCTTGATTACTTGCTAACTTTGCTATAGTTTCTCAGAATGTTCAGAGGTAACAAAGCATTAATGCATCGTCCTCGTAAGAGCTACGACCACTGAGTGTATATAGCTGTACAAGCAATACTTGTTTGTGTTCACAAATTTGATTTTTGCGTTTATTTATTACGATATGTACATATATCATTGTACATATTCGGTTTCTATATTCTGTAATCTTCGTATATATGTTGTATCTAGTTTAGGAAAGAAACCCTTGTATAAAGTATCGGTCTTGGACCAAAGAATAAATACAGAAAACCATTCTACAACTTCTGTTTCTGACATGGTATCAGAGCAATAGGGTTTTTTTTGACATGGTATCAGAGCAATAGGGTTTTTCTTTTCTTTACGGCGGCTGGTTTATTCTCTCGCTTACTTGTTTCGTTTCTTACACAGAATATCATCATCCTTCTTTGATTTCTGTGGAAGATTCTCTTGGAAACTATGGGTGACAAATCAGCTAATTCGAAGTCTACGACTAGTGGGGAGAACAATACTTCTCAAACTGATTCTGCGAAGGAAAACAGTGTTGTCCAAAGGCGCACTATTTCTCCTTATGATCTGACCTCAAGTGACAACCCAGGGAGTCTCATCTCTCAACCGTTGTTGCGAGGTCCGAACTACGACGAATGGGCATCAAGTCTTCGTCTGGCGTTGAAGGCACGCAAGAATTTTGGATTTGTGGATGGATCTATTCCACAACCGGGTCCGGAATCAGGAGATCTTGAAGATTGGTGGACCAACAATGCCTTGGTGGTATCTTGGATCAAACTAACGATTGATCCAGCTGTGCGTTCTAACCTCTCGCACCGTGACGTAGCCAGCGACTTATGGGACCATATTCAAAAACGGTTCTCTATCAAGAATGGATCCAAAATTAAGAGGATCAAAACAGAGATTGCTACGGCGAGGCAGAGGGGTCAGTCTATTGAAGCATATTTTGGCTATCTCAACAAACTGTGGATGACTTTGACAGATTATCGTCCACCGAAGAAGTGCCAGTGTGGATCGTGTAAGTGCAGCCTGAATCTCGAACTTGAAAAAGAAAGAGATGAGGATCGTGTACACGAACTGTTACGTGGCGTTGATGAAGTATATGTTCCAACTCGATCAGCACTACTTTCGCGGGTGTCGTTTCCTTCCCTAGACGATGTGTACAATGTCTTGACACAGGAGGAAGATTCACGGATGGGCTCCCACTCAACAATGGAACAAACGGAGGGTTTGAGTTTTGCGGTGCAGTCACAGCAGTCGCGACGTGTTGTTCGAGATGATCGTGACAAGAATGCTCTCTGCTCGAGTTGCGGTCGTACAGGCCATCTTGCAGAGCAGTGTTTTCGACAGATTGGGTATCCTCCTTGGTGGGGAGATCGACCCTGGGAACAGTGACTCAAGGCAACACCACGGTGACTCCCAAGAGCCGTGGGAAAGAAGTTGCACTTGCGAATGCAATGGGAGCAGGTCCTTTTGGATCATCTGGTGCTAGCTCCTCTGGACTCTCTGACGTGGATCGAACTGGTTTTAGCGGCCTAAATGAAAACCAGTGGAGGACTCTTGTTAAGATGCTTGATGAACGCAAAACTTCATCATCTGCTCGCTTAACAGGTACGTTTTTTTCCGAATCCTGGATTATTGATACAGGAGCTACGAATCATATGACGGGATCTAGTGATTATTTGACTGATATTCGGTATATGGCTCCGGTGAATATTAAGCTTCCTGATGGGAGGTTTACTGTGGCAGTTCAGAGAGGTTTAGTTAAATTGGGAAATCAGATCAGTTTGCAGAACGTGTTTTTAGTAGAAGGATTGCATTGTCATTTGATCTCAGTCTCGCAGTTGACACGAGATAGTAGATGTCTGTTTCAGATTACTGATGTGCTTTGCATAATCCAGGACCGCATCACGAGAACCCTGATTGGAGCGGGTAAGCAGCTGAATGGTCTTTACTTCTTTAGAAGCTTGGAGGTTGCAGCGACGATGTCTGGGTGCACGGATCGTTTATCTCGAGACGTATGGCATCGACGAATGGGTCACCCAGCTTCTAGAGTAGTAGGAAAATTACCTATCTCTGGTTTTTCTAGTTTTGGTGTTTTAGATAATAAAGCGTGCGATGTCTGTATCCGCGCCAAGCAAACCCGTGATGTTTTTCCTACAAGTTTGAATAAAACTACTGCTGCTTTTGAATTGATCCACTGTGACTTATGGGGGCCCTACCGAACACCAACTCTTTGTGGAGCTCAGTATTTCTTGACCATTTTAGATGATTATACGAGAGCTCTTTGGTTATATCTGCTGCCAAATAAACAAATTGCTCCCACCAAAATCAAGCAATTTTTTGCTCTTATTGAGCGACAATTTCAGACCAAGATACGAACTTTTAGAAGTGACAATGGCAGTGAGTTTATCTGCTTGACTGATTTTTTTCGTGACAATGGAGTTATTCACGAAACCTCGTGTGTGGGGACTCCACAACAGAACAGAAGAGTGCAGCGCAAGCATCGGCATATTTTGAATATTGCTCGTGCTTTGCGTTTTGAAGCGAATCTCCCGATCGAATTTTGGGGTGATTGCGTGTTAGCTGCGGGATATTTGATAAACCGAACACCGACTGATGTATTAAAAGGCAAGACGCCTTTTGAGATGTTGTATTCACGACCACCTCCTCTCCAACACCTGCGAGTTATTGGGGGCCTGTGTTATTCCCATAATCAGAGACATGGAGGTGATAAATTTGCAAGCAGAAGTACGAAATGCATTTTGCTTGGCTACCCGTTCGGCAAGAAGGGATGGCGCTTGTATGATCTAGACTCAGGAACAGTTTTTGTGTCCCGTGATGTGATTTTTGTTGAAGAGGAGTTTCCATTTCGGAAGAATGCAGAGATCACGCATGAGATTGATGAGTTTGGGTTTGATGGTTCTCCGGATATACACGATGGTAGTGACGAAGCAGAAAACTCATCTCCTGGTGTGACTGTGGCACCGTTACTGACTCCACCACATCACAATGACGACGTGGTGCTCTCTGAAGATTCCCCAGAAAATCGACTTGAACATGATGAAGAGTCATCTGATTTGAAGACTTTGTCATCTGATTCTGATACGACTGAACCTATCACCGTTTTGTCCGAACAGCTTGTGTCTCCCAACACAGAGGCACCTGTAGAGATATTGATTGATGAACCCCTTGGACGAGGATTCCGACAGAAGATTAAATCGACGAGATTGAAGGATTTTGTGGCTAATACTATACACAATACATCGTGTTATCCACTTGAAGATTTTTTTACTTGTGATCGATTCTCAGATCAACATCGTCATTTCTTAGCTGCGATCACAGCGACTACGGTTCCGCAACATTACTCTCAGGCTATGGATGATCCGAATTTTCAATTAGCTATGAAACATGAGATTGTTGCTCTGGAGGATAACAACACATTTACCAACGAAGATTTACCTCCGGGAAAGAAAGCCCTTGAATGTAAATGGGTGTACTGTATTAAGTACAAGTCTGATGGCTCTATTGAACGATATAAGGCTCGTTTGGTGGTGTTTGGAAATCATCAAATTGAAGGTGAGGACTTTGGTGAAACGTTCGCACCAGTTGCAAAGATGACTACCGTCCGTTGTTTTCTTCAAATAGCTGTTTCTCGAGATTGGGAGGTGCACCAGATGGATGTGCATAATGCATTCTTGCATGGGGATCTTGAGGAGGAGGTCTACATGCGATTGCCACCGGGATTTTGTACTGATGATAAAAACAAGGTTTGTCGGTTACGCAAATCATTATATAGCCTTCGACAGGCTCCTCGCTGCTGGTTTGCGAAACTTGCGACTGCGTTGGATGAATACGGTTTTGTTCAGACAGTTCCGGATTACTCCTTGTTTGTCTTTGACAAAGATGGCGTGCAGCTTCAAGTGTTGGTATACGTCGATGATTTGATTATTTCTGGCAACTCATCGAAGGTTATCTCAGATTTTAAGACTTATTTGAGTGATTGTTTTCATATGAAAGATCTGGGATTGCTTAAATATTTTCTGGGCATTGAGGTTGCAAGGAATGAGACTAGTATGTATCTGTGTCAACGGAAATATACCCTGGATATTTTGACGGAGACGGGTCTTTTTGGAGCTAAACCAGTTATGTTTCTGATGGATCAGAATCATAAGCTCGCTTTAGCTAAAGGTGACATCATATCGGATCCCTCCAGGTACCGTCGCTTGGTGGGAAGGCTGATTTATCTGGGAGTTACAAGGCCTGAATTGTCTTACGCAATCCATATTCTAAGTCAATTTATGAGTGAGCCGAAGCAAGCTCATTGGGATGCAGCCATACGAGTGGTGAGATATCTTAAATGGCAACCTGGGCAGGGAATTCTTCTGCGTTCGGGACAGCCACTGATTCTCAAAGCTTGGTGCGACTCTGATTGGGCTGGCTGCCCACTTACCCGACGATCATTGACAGCATGGTTTATACAGCTTGGTGACTCTCCTGTTTCTTGGAAAACAAGGAAACAAAAGACGGTTTCACGATCTTCGACGGAGGCTGAATATCGATCAATGTCTGATACAGTTCAGGAAATTTTGTGGTTGAAACAACTTCTTGAGGCATTTGGAGTTCAGTTTGCAGCTCCTATTCGACTTTATTGTGATAGTCAACCAGCTATTCATCTTAGTGCAAATCCGGTATTTCACGAAAGGATGAAGCACATCGAGTCGGATTGCCATTTTGTTCGAGATGAGATAGTTGCGGGAACGATTTGCACTGAACATGTTTCGACCAAAGAGCAATTAGCAGACATATTTACGAAGGCACTTGGGAAGAAGGAGTTCACAGAGTTTCTTCTCAAGTTGGGAGTTCGAAATCTACACTCTCCAACTTGAGGGGGGTATTACGATATGTACATATATCATTGTACATATTCGGTTTCTATATTCTGTAATCTTCCTATATTCTGTAATCTTCGTATATATGTTGTATCTAGTTTAGGAAAGAAACCCTTGTATAAAGTATCGGTCTTGGACCAAAGAATGAATACAAAAAACCATTCTACAACTTCTGTTTTCTGACATTATTAGGATTAGATTAACGAAATGATCGTTTGTAAATATAATTTAACGTTAGTTTGAGAAATTGTCACCAGTGTGTGTATCTGAAAACAAAACCAGGTCACGGAAGAAATGCAGGATATTATTTAATCAGAAATCATAATTAACTTTTCACGCAACCAAACACTGCCAATTGCCCAAAATAGGATTACACAGTTCATTAGACAATCATATATTTCAATGAATCGAATATCAAAATAACCAGACAGAGACAGAGAGAGAGATATTATCCAACGCAATTCCACAACAGAGAGATAAACTACGGTTATAACTTATAAGCTATATAAAATTAGTGTAGTTAAAGACTAAAATTACTATAACCACAGAAAAAATTAATGTAGTGTACAGTTAACTATTATTATCTATATGAGTAGATGAATTGTTTATTTATATATTACTATTATTTTCTTACCTTTATGAAACTCGAGAGGTGATTGTTGGAATGAGAATGAGAATGTAGTGGGTGGAGTGCACCGAGGTTGGATGTTGAAGATGGGAAGATCTGATTGAATCCCTGGATCAAGATAATTGGTGTCTACTGCCTCTGATGTTGTGCCCTGATAACATTCATGATACTTCGCTAGCTCGAAAAAAAATCTAAAAGATAAGGGAGTAGTTTTAAATGGAAACAACAAATGAAATTCAAAAACTTGCCACAGCATTATAAGCGAGATCACGCAAGAAAATGTCAGATGAGTTCACCGCGAAAGAATTAGGCAGCAGATTCCGAGATAGTGCTAGAAAAAGTGAAGATTACTTAATTTAGAGAGGAACCAAAACAATAGTATAGAATATACATAACTAAAAAGAAGGTTTTGAAATTAAGAGGCATATATACATACTTGCACCAAGGGAATGGTTATTCCCAGTAACAAATATAGTTACATGACAAGATCCTGTTCTTCGTCTGCACGAGTCACTATCAACAGAAGGTGGAATATGTAACAAAGGAGGCAATGGTGGAGGGTTTGGGAAAGCACAAAAGATGGCTTGGTTTGGAGTTGAATATTCTAAACCGCAACTCTTTCTTTCGCATTTACCGTCGTCATTTCTTTTGTCGTCAATGCATTTGCAACCACATAGATTATCAGAAGAGTTATTGACCTGTGTTTTGAACAGAGTTTGAATTCCCAATAGAACCACGCAGAGGTACAAGGGGATCACAATGAGCCGAACATTGCTCCATATGTTCCGTTTCTACACCAATCGATTCATTAGTATCAAGATATGTATATAACTATATAACACATGTATATATTGTTGCGCCAAACCTGATAGGTTAAGTTCTTTCTGAACAAGGCATTGGCACGAGTCAAGAAACTTGCGGGAACAGGATTCGGCGCCATTGATGATCGACGAAGCTTCTTATAAGTTAATCTTGATTCTCTTTTATCATACGACAAACTAACTTTTATTTCATCTTGCGAATTTTTACGACAAGATTTATGTCAACTTGCTAGATTCATACGACAAGCTAGGTAGTTTTATTTACACTTGCGAATTTTTTAAGTGGTTTAGGCCGTTAAAAGTTAGTCTTAATAATTTATTACTATTAACTTCAACGAACGAAAGAGCTTCAATTATTTGCAACAAGTTGCCAAGAAAGAAGTGATGTTATAAGACACGGACCAATAAATTGTTCAGCTGCATGTGTGAAAAAAATGAGAACATAATGAAAGATTATGGGAAAGCGTTGATTATGGTTGGGGCTGATAAAACAATAAATACCTCACGAATCTCAAAGATAATTAAAGTCGGGTGGATTTCGTTAGAACAACGTCGATCATTAACCTTAAGTGCCACAAGCCAAAACAGTGCTTTGACTTGAGAAATACGCTATCGTGACTTAAAGATGCATGGGGTCTTGACGATCTATATTCCCATGGGAACTATCATATAGCACCAGATCCACACGGAACTATGACCTCGTTTTAGACGTTCATAAGAGGAAAGTTATAGATTTAAATCCCCATGTAATAATAGTTCAAAATCTACTTCCCCAGATGTGTTAGTTTTTACGGTTTCTGCCGGTTTGCGATGTAAACCCGAGAGTTAAACCATCAATCGCTGAAACCAAACAAAAAAAAACCGACTCGAACTAAAAAAACCCGATTCGAACCCGACCCATATGACAGCATTTTATTCCCACTTTGGTCCCAAAATCCCCAAATCGAAAAAATTCAGTAAGAACCCTAAATTCGATTCTGGAAAATCGATTGTTGTAATCAGTAATTTCTGAAATCAAGGGTAAGAATAGTGTTATGGGTTCATATTTGAGTGTTAATTGTAGTCTTTTTCTTATGTCTCCCTCATCATCGTCATCACTTTCTGGAAGTTGTCGTGGAAAATTGAAGGCTCGTCCTCAAATTCCTCCACCATTTTCTCGATTTCAGTTGCATCTCTGTCCACTTCTTCTTCATCGAAATCATCTTCGCCAAGCGCACGACGAATGACTAAGGCCATCGAAATCGTCGTCTACCTCTTCCTTCAGCTTTGATTTCGAATTCGATTTCTAGGGTTTAGGATTTGAGAATTTTGAATTTGAGGATTTTGTTGGGTTTTGGTTTATTAGTTGGGTTTTAGTTTATTAGTTGTAATCGGGTCATAATCCGGGTCATGATTGGTTTAACAACGCTAATACATGGTTTAGCTTTGTTTCCGATATAGTAATCCAACTAAAACCGAACCCTTTTATTCTTGTATTTGTTCATATATATGCTTACTACTTCACAAGTCCATTCTATGGGACAACTGATTCAAAAACTTATTATAGTTCTTTTTTTTTTGACAAAGGGTTTTAAAATTAAATGCAGGAAAATAAAGGCTACATAGATATGACTTTAGGGAAAATCGCATTTTAAACTTCCATGGACCAAAAAAGTAGCACTTTAAACCTCGGAGGATTTTCACTAGCATAATAAACCTCCAATCTAATTTCTCTAACACTATAAACCTTCAAACTTTGGAAATTTTTTTGCACCGCCGAAAAACTTGACGGAACAGTAACGGGCCGTGACAAAACAGTTAACTCCGGTAACTTGTTTTAAAACGTGCCTAAATTTTAATTAGTTTGTAAATCAATTTCAAATTTTAATAATTAATAAAAAAGGATAAAAACGAAACAAGAAAAATGTTGCGACATTAGCTATCTGAAAAAACCCCAAATCAAAAAAAAATCCCAAATCAATTTTGGGGATCTAGGGTTCATGAGAGTAAAATCCAGAAAGGAGAAATTAACAAGAGGCGCAGATTACAACTAATTTGAAGATTCAAGAGAGGCGAAATCGGACATGGCAGAATAGAAAGGCGAAATCCTTACCCCATTTCGAGTTGATAGCATCCGATTCTTCCTTCAATCTCTTTCTTCTTCTTACTTTCAGTTTTCTGGGTTTAATATGTTCGAACTCTAATTTTTAAATTAGGGATTTTGACTTCACAAATTGAATTGGGGATTTTGACTCCCATTTATTTTGTCCCAACATTTTTCTTGTTTTATTTTTATCCTTTTTATTAATTATTAAAATTTAAAATTGATTTACAAACTAATTAAATTTAGGCACGTTTTAAAACAGGTTACCGGAGTTAACTGTTCCTTCACGGCCCGTTACTGTTTCGTCAGGTTTTTTAACAGCGCAAAAAAATTTCCAAGTTTTAAGGTTTATAGTGTTAGATAAATTAGATTTAAGGTTTATTATGCTAGTGAAAATCCTCTGAGGTTTAAAATGCTATCATTTTGGTCCATCGAAGTTTAAAATGCGATTTTCCCTATGATTTTGGGTCAAATAGTTTTTGAAAGTTATAAAAAGAGGAGATCATACATATAATTAAGTAGAATCTAGAGAAAATAGAGTTGCGATAAACTATGGTTGATTAATTATAGTGTAAACATCTTAAATGGAAAAATACATAATTTAGTTTGGATTTCGGATCATAGTTGTCTACTGTTAGATTTCTTTCATTTAAAAATTGGGTAGAGGAATCAAACAAAAATGCTTAGGCACAATGCCTATCAACATTTGTTAAAATTATTTTCATACAAAATATTGGAAACCAAACTAAATTTGTTTCTGGCTTCTAATGGCGATTGCAGCAGACCAAAAATCATCATCAATACCGTACTTGATTATGGTGACTAGATAAAGTGTGCGATCACCTCTATTTCGATTCTTCCTAGTTCCTACACATTCACACTTTGAGAATTACGACTTACACTCATGTTAAATCTCATATGTTCCAGACTGGTCTCAGGCCTAGTGTAAACAACAACATAATTTACATTTTTACATAATAATCCACACAAAAAGAAAACAAGTTTTATAAAAACTCAGAGAAATTCACAAATTGGAGCCGATTTCCAAGAATGTACATGACTATTTACAAGCCTCTCTACATGACCAATTTAGCACACACATGCAAATATTTCAATATAAGAACACTCAAGAGAAGACATTAAAGTCCGTAGCAGTTTTAGAAACTTTAATGAAGACATCTTCCAGAGTTGTGTCTGCAAGTCCCCAAGCAAACACCCTGAAACTGCTCTTGGCCTTCTCCACCGCCTGAAACACTTCTGAGATACGAACTTCCTTTTTTGGGATCTCGAATTTCTGTGTCCCTGCGATGTGATATATCTTCTTGGCGTTTGGAGAAAAACCTTGAACCAACATCTCCACATCTTGCTCGTGTTCTGATGAGGTTGTCATTGCAAATACATAGGATCCGCCATATCTTCCCTTTAGCTCTTTTGGGTTCCCTATGCATTGTAACTTTCCATCTACAAAAATCCCTAATCGGTCACAGAGAAACTCTGCCTCTTCCATTGAGTGTGTTGTGAGGATTATCGCAGTATGTCTTTTTGCGCGTTTGATGACCGTCCATAGGCTCATTCTTGAGGCTGGATCAAGTCCTGTGCTTGGCTCATCCATATAAACCACCTTTTCCGAAAAAGAAACATTTAGATGAAACAATGGATTTATTAAACCTTGTCAACTTCAGCTCTATGGATTTACATGCAAATAACTTTATCAGTAGATGGGTATGAGACAATGATGTGTACCTTAGGACTCCCAATAAGTGAAATGGCCACACTTAGCCGTCTTTTCATACCTCCGCTGTATTTCCCAGCAGGTTTATCAGCAACTCCTCCGCGAGATAGGTTCACACTCTTAAGAGACTCTTCTACAGCCTTATTAAAATGCATGCATTGATGTTTTAATTCTTCAGGAGAATAATATACAAAAGCCAGAGAAGAAAAATATTGGTAACATACTTGGTTAAGATCAGAGCCTTTAAGATTCTTTAGTCTCCCATAAAAGAGCAAATGCTCCTTTCCTGATAGAGTCTCCCAAAGCAAGCTGGTACACAAACAGACAATAAGAGAATGATATGAACAATTAGATAAACTTTTTTCACGATCTTAATTTAATTACTCGTGTTGTGGGCATACACCCATGCTGGTGTATGCTCTATCCATATCCTTGCATATGTCCAAACCTCGAACAAAAGCTGCTCCAGATGTTGGTTTCACAAGCCCAGTCATCTGACCAGAAAATTACAGTACATATTCAGGAATATGCTAGAACCAAAAAATTACAGTACATATTCAGGAATATGCTAGAATCTAAGCACAAAATATTTTTGTTTTCCATTTTGTGTACTGACCATATTGATGAAAGAGGTCTTGCCAGCACCATTGGGCCCTAACATACCGAAGCATTCTCCTGAAGGTACCGCGAGAGATAGCCCTTGGACTGCCATTTTAGGTGGGTTTCCATCCCTACCTGGATACACCTTCTTCAGGTTGTCACATACAACAGCATATCTTGTGCTCGGCTCAAGCATCAATTTCTCAACTTTTTCTCTCTAGTTAGGGAACAGTTAAAATATTTTCATCAAAACAGCTAGTAAAATGCAAAAAAAAGCATGTATTATATTTGTTTATCCTTATTTGTCATACCTCCTGTGCTACATCTTGTTTCTCCATTTCTACCAACACCCCAGAGCCCTGTTTTTGAGGCACAGACTTGAAAGGGTTTTTCAAGAAGAACATAAGGTCTTTTCCGGATGAAGAAATATTTTCGATATAGTATGCTGCCATGAGTGAGATAAACCACTCGACGATTATAATGTAAAAAACGTCATCCATTGCACTATCACTGAAATCATTCCACGTAATCCCATCCCTTCGATTAAGGGCAAACTCGGAGAACTCATACAACCCACGGTATAAAGAGAAGCCTGGATACAGCTCCATGAAAAAAATCCAGTGTCCTGGAAAAAAAGAAACAGGTTATATATATTGCATTGTGGTCAGTTTTGAGAATATATATTCTTCAAGTTGTTCTTAATAGCTTACTAGGAAACGAGGAATCTTCCAGCAGAAACTGAAAGAGAAAAGCCCCCAAGAGCCCAGATCCAAAGACGTATATGTAAGTAGCAACTACAATTTTGTGCATAAAACAGAAAGTGTTTCTTTCATTTAACGCCAACATGTAACATGTAATTATTATAAAAAGGTGTGAGTTTATTACCTGATGCGGTCTTAACTTCTGAAAATGCTGAGGAAACTAGAAAGGCAATGGAGATTTGTAGATTTATGTAGAGAAAATAGAAAATAAACTGGATGCTGTAGTCATTAAGCTTGAAGAACTTTAGTCCTGCAAGTAACTATAGCTGCTATAGTAATCTCATAGAAGAAAACTTGTTCTATAATAGATATGGAAATGATTCAGTACCTATTACTGACCCAAAACCCATCAGGCATATAACGTATAACGTAGATATGGCGAGAAAATAGGCGTAGGAAATCATCCAGTATGGTCCATCTCCTAGCCCATGCATTTTCATTATGATTCTTAGACGCTCTTGTTTCTCATACACCAATGAGTTCAAGATCACCTGCAAACAAAACGCCGGTAACTATTGAAATCCCATGTAGGCTAGTAAGAGCCTGAATCAGTCTATTCAAAATGAACTTACAGGGAACAGAAGAAGAATGACCCATGTGAAGAAAATGGGACCAATGGAAGACGCAATGTCCACACGAAGCCAAGTTTCTACTTTAGGCATTTCTTTGACAAACTCGAATAACATCTTTGTCCCTGGCCCTTGCAAATACTGAAGATAAGCATTTGAAATCTGCATTTAATTTTGCAAAGTATCGGGTTGATCAAGAGACTTGTCGTAGGAAAATAAAATAAAAAAGCAATGTCTTGCATAAAATATTTGGTTTCTTACTAAATTGACTGAGCGAGGAACTCGAACAAGCTTTACACGCCTATCTAGCAATTTGGTCTTGTATGTAGAGTTATACAAGATGGTCACATTGACTTTGTTACTATCGGTGTCCAAGAGATCGTATGCTGATAAAAGAAACATAAAAAAATATAGAGAAAGAGTGAAGAATTGCATATGTAAATATAGAGACAAACCAAGTGTACGTTCTTTAAATTGACTGATAGAGAAATGCAAGAATAACCTGCAGCGACCTCGTTGATAATCTCCTCACGGTTTCCTTTCTGATATCCTTTTAAGATCTCATGATTGAAGTCTATGGAGTTATTCCGCCAGAGACTCAATCCTTGAACGCATCTCACCTCTACTCAGACATAACCATTAAGTTAATTAGCAAAAACTTGGAACATAGAATGCAATGTAAACTATAAATTATATTGATGAAGTTAAAACATACGTATCCATCTCAAACATAGTCTTGATATACCTTTCTGAAGCTTAAGAGGAGATTGTCCAAGAGAGAATGAAAATGTGGTGTTTGGAGTGCACCGAGGTTGGATGTTGAAGATGGGAAGCTGTGAGTAAATCCCTGGATCAAAATGATTGGTGAAGTCTGGCTCTGATGTTGTACCCTGAATAATTGGTGAATTCATGATGTCTTTAGAGAAAAGTTACTCGACGACAATGGAAACAACCAGAATTCAAGCAGAGAAGAACTTGCCAAAACATTAATGGCTAGATTACGCAACCAGAGTTCAGAAGAGTTCGCCATGAAAGAAGTAGTAAGCAGATTCCTAGATAAAGCTGGAGAACAAAAAAAAAAAGATCAGTTTCTTTCGATAGAAAACAATGTGGACAACAAAATTAAGAGACATATACTACTGACTTGGTCCAAGGGAAGGGTTCTTTCCAGTAACAAGTATAGTTACAGGACAAGATCCGGTTCGTCGTTTACACGAGCGAGAAGGAGTTTTGGGACGTGGAATATGTAACAAAGGAGGCAGTAGTGGAGGGTTGGGGAAAGCACAGAATATGGCTTGTTTCTGTGACGAATATTCTAAACCGCAACTCTTTTTTTCGCATTTACCATCTTCATTTTTGTCGTCAATGCATCGACAACCACATCGATTATCAGAAGAGTTATTGACTTGTGTATCAAACAAAGCTTGAATGCTCACTAGAAGCACGCAGAGGTACAAGGGGATCACTATGAGCCGAACGTTACTCCATATGTTTCGTTTCTACACCACACACTTACAACAAATTTAGCAAAAAGCTTGTTCCAAGAATAAGATATATATATAATTTTACATTTTTGCAACTTAGTATCATCAGCACATGTATTCTTTCGGAAATCGTTCAAGGAAACAAAAAGGCCTAGAAACCAACCCAAGTTGGTATTAACTCAGGGACTAGATAAGCATATTCAATATCTTCCCACTGCGATTTCAATCATACCTGATAGACTAAGTTTTTCCTGAATAGGGCGTTAGCTTGCGTCAAGAAACTGGCGGGAACAAGATCCGCCATCGATGAAAGCTTCGGTAATATGATGGGGTTTTCTTGTTCTTCTGTTTTACATTAAGAGTTGATTTCACCAAATTTGAATGATGGCGAACTACTTAGTTTTTTTAAGGAGTTTACGTACGCTAAGATGATTATATCCATATATGACACGCTTTAATTCCCATTGCAAAAGTTGGTCCCTTAGCATTATTTCAACGAACCAACAACATCATTTATTCGCAACAATTAAGTTGCATGGGGAAACGTTAGGATTCAATAAATGATTCACCCTCATGTGATAAGATCATGCATGGGGAAACGTTAGGAGAGATCACACACGGCACGTTAGGAGAGATCACACAATCAAAGCCAAACAAAATAATTACTCCTTATATTCACAATTTTCCTTTATAAGATGAGAGTAAATATTAAGGTTTAAGTTTTTGTTTTCTTTAATAATCTAGTAAAAGCAGCCAAAACTTGAACATTTGCAAAATAATTTTACATTTTACTCTCTCATATTTTCTATTTTTTAATCATTTCTAACATTATATCACATTTTTAATATTTATAAACATGTTTTTACTGGTTTTAAAAAAATATGAGGGCCAAAATATATAACTAAAAAAAAAAAAACAAAATGGTGCCTCAAGGACATTGCTTCATTTTTATTGCTCTGTCCAGAACCGCTCCTGAGCATCACTGCATCACATCAGCATCATATTTTGTTGGCCAAAGGGTCTTTGGATCTGGAGGTAGAGAGTTCAAGCTACATATATATGGGAGAGAACAAGTTACAAAAACCTCAGAGAAATTCACAAACTTGCACAGCCAAATTTGCAATAATATGTACATGAGATTTCCAAACCAATCTACATGACCAATTTAGCACATGCGCAGTTATTAACGTTGACCAGACAAAAAATGATAGTCCTAAGAAGACTCAAGAGAAGGCATTAAAATCCTGGGCAGTTCTAGCAACCTTAATGAAAACATCTTCAAGAGTTGTATTCGCGAGTCCCCAAGCAAACACTTTGAAACTTCTCTTTGCCTTCTCTACCGCCTGAAACACTTCTGAGATCCGAACTTTCTCTTTTGGGATCTCGAATTTCTGTGTCCCTGCGATGTGATATATCTTCTTGGAGTTTGGAGAAAACTCTTGAACCAACATCTCCATGTTTTGCTCGTGTTCAGAAGCTGTTGTCATAGTTAAGACATAGGATCCACCATACCTTCCCTTTAGCTCTTTTGGGTTCCCTATGCACTGTAACCTTCCATCTACGAAAATCCCCAATCGGTCACAGAGAAACTCTGCCTCTTCCATTGAGTGAGTCGTGAGAATTATTGCAGTATGTCTTTTCGCACGTTTGATGGCTGTCCATAGGTTCACTCTTGAAGCTGGATCAAGTCCTGTGCTTGGCTCATCCATATAAACCACCTTTGAAAAAGAAAAATTTAGATGAAACAATGAATTTCTTACACCTTTTTGTAAACATGAAATCTCTAAATCACATGCAAATAAATTTATCAGGAGAAGAGTAAGAGACAATGCCTTGTACCTTAGGACTCCCAATAAGTGAAATGGCTACACTTAGTCGTCTTTTCATACCTCCGCTATATTTTCCAGCAGGTTTATCAGCAACTCCTCCGTGAAATAGGTTCACACTCTTAAGAGCCTCTTCTACTGCCTAACATGCATAAATTGATGTTTTGACACTTCAGGAGTAATTCAAAAGCTATATCAAGAATTAAGTATTGGTAACATATACTTGGTTGAGATCAGAGCCTTTGAGATTCTTAAGTCTCCCATAAAAGAGCAGATGTTCCCTTCCTGTCAGCGTCTCCCAGAGCAAGCTTGTACACAAACAGACAATAAGAGAATGACATGAACAATTAGATAAAATGATTTCAAGATTTTAGTTTAGTTACTCATGCTGTGGGCATACACCCAGGCTAGTGTATACTCTGTCCATCTCTGTGCATATGCTCAAACCGTTAACAAACGCTGACCCTGATGTTGGTTTCACAAGCCCAGTCATCTAGGGAGAAAGATACAAATACTAACCTTTATTTTTCAGAGATTTTTCAATGAGAAGCTAAGCTTAAGTGAAAGTACAATGTCAATTTTGGTACTGACCGTGTTGATGAATGAGGTCTTTCCTGCACCATTTGGACCTAACATGCCGAAGCTTTCTCCTGTAGGCACGGCAAGAGATAAACCTTGAACCGCCTTTTTTGGCGGGTTTCCATCCCTACCTGGATACACTTTCTTCAAGTTGTGACATACAATTGCATGGCTTGTGTTCTGCTCAAGCATCAACTTCTCAACTTTTTCACTCTGGTTGGAACAAAGTTTTAATTAATAATAGCTTAAAAGAACCAAATAACTTGAAATGCGTGTTGTAAGAAAATGCTTTTGCAATACCTCCTGAATGACATCTAGCTTCTCCATTCCTTTGGAAGCCGCAGAGACCTGTTTTTGGAAGCTAGGCCTTTGTGAAAAAGGAGATTTCTTGAAAGTGTTTTTCAAGAAAAACAAAGGGTCTTTCCCGGATGAAGATATCTTATCGATATAATATGCTACAGTCAGTGAGACAAACCACTCAACGATTATGATGTAGAAAACTTCATCCATTCCACTATCACTGAAATGTTTCCACTTCATCCCATCCCTCCCACTCAAGTTCCCATGAAAAGCAAATTGCGATAACTCATACAACCCTCGGAACAGAGAGAAGCCAGGATACAGCTCTAAGACTAAAATCCAGCCTCCTGGAAAGAAGAAGAAGAAGAAGTAAAGATTATATTACCATTGTAGTTGATTGTGAGAATGAATAAACACATAAACAAGTTTGTTCTTCAAGTTGATCTAGATAACTTACTGTGAAACGATAAATCTTCAAGCATGAATTGAAAGAGGAACAAGCCCAATAGTCCAGATCCAAATACGTATATGTACGCAGCAACTACAATTTGGCCATAAAAACAAAAAGTGTTTCTTTTCTAGCACCGACGTGTTCCCAAGAAAACTTGAAAAACTTAAAGTGTGACTTTAGTAGTACCTGATGCTGTCTCAACTTTTGAAAATGCTGAGGAAATCAAAAAGGCAATGGAGATTTGCAGATTTATGTTGAGAAAATAAAAAACGAACTGGAGGCTGTAGTCATTGATCCGAAAGAACTTCAGTCCTACAAGAAACTAACTGCTATAATAACCCCAGTGGAAGAAAAAAAGATAATACTTAATCATCTAGATATTGCAAGAATCAGTACCTATCGCTGACCCAAATATCATCAAGCATATAATGAATAACGTGGATATGGCAAGAAAATAGACGTAGGAAATCATCCAATACGGACCGTCTCCTAGGCCGTGCATTTTCATTATAATTCTTAGACGATGCTGCTTCTCATACACCAATGAGGTCAAGATTACCGGCATACAAATTCTTGAAATTATGATTGCTTCCAAGATTTACATATGCGTATTGTAAGAGCCTAAAGCAGTCTATTGTAAGGCCAACTTACAGGTAACAAAAGAAGAATAACCCATGTAAAGAAAACTGGACCAATCAGAGATGCAAGGTCTAGACGAAGTTTAGTTTCTTGTTTAGGCATTTCTTTGACAAACTCAAACGATATCCTTGTCCCGGGGCCTTGCAAATACTGAAGATAAGCATTTGACACCTGCAGTTTTTTACAGACGCTGAGAATCTGATCAATCAAGAAACGCAAGGACGTTCTTGAGTGTATTTCTTACCAAACTGACCAAGCGGGGAACTCGGACCAACTTTATAGGCCTATTTGAATCATCCTTGTACGTTGCATTATACCATATGTTCACATTGAAGTTAGTCTTAATTGTGTTCAAGAGATCGTATGCTAAGGCAAACAAAACAAACAGAGACGTTCATAGATCTCAATGTGCATACTAATTAAGCAATGTAGATAAAATGACAGAGAAAGTCAAACAAACCTGCAACGATCTCACTTATCAACCCATCAGAGTTTCCTTTCTGATAACCTTTGAAGATCTCATGGTTGATCTCTCTGGAGCTATTTCTCCAAAGATTCAATCCTTGAACGCATCTCATTTCTTTGGTAAAATTTAGAGGTGATTGTCCGACTGAGAAAGGAAAACTAGAGTGTGGAGGGCACTGAGGTTGGATGTTGTAAATGCTAAGATCTGAGACAATCCCTGCATCAAGATAATTGGTGGCACTTCCTTTATATGTTGTAGCCTGAAAACATGAGCTCAAAAAGTAAAAATGCTAAGAAAGAGAGATTGTAAAACAAAACAGAGTTTCAAACAGAACAGAGAACTTACCAACACATTATCCGCCAAACTAGACAAGATGTCAAATGAGTTCATTGTAAAGGACGTCCTCAGAAGATTTCTAGACAAAGCTAGAGAAAACATGAACATTAGTTCTAATGCAAACTATGTAGAATATGCCTGAAGAAGAAGAAGAAGAAGATGCATACTTGCTCCAAGAGATTGGTTATTCCCAGTGAGAAGTATACTTACAGGGCAAGAATGTTTCCGTCTACACGGGGCGTCAGTGTATTTGGTGTCAACAGCACGATTCTCTGGACGAGGAATTAGCATCAAAGGAGGCCATGGTTGTGGTTTTGGTATGGCACAAAACACTCCTTGATCCCGAGTCGAGTACTCTACACCGCAGACCATTTGACATTTTTCGACTCCGGTTTTGTCAATGCATTTGCAACCACATTGATTATCCACTGAGTTATTGACCTGTGAATCGATCAGAGCTTGAACACACACGAGAACTATGCAGAGGTAGAAAGGTATCATGATAAGCCGAACATTGCTCCATATATTCCGTTTCTGCAAAGTCAATGGTTGAATTACGACGCAAGATATCCGAAAAAACGTCATATTTTCGAGAACTTAGCAATGAAATTTACTGTAAAGTTGATCCAAGGAGTTCACAAAAATCTTAAAGCACAATATATTCTCATAGTGTGCAACAAAACTTCATATATGAATGTATACATGTAATAATGGATTTTACGAGGAGAGAAACGAAAACGCCGAACCTGATAGGTTAAGTTTTTTCTATATATGGCATTGGCCCGAGTCAAGAAGCTGGCTGGACCAGAATCCGCCATTGATGAAGCTTTGGTAGCTTCCCGCAATCTGAAACACGTATTAGATATTCAATATATAGACTCGTAAATATAAAGTTTTATTAACGTATTGACAAATTTATTTTACAAAAATACTATATTTTCTTTCAAAATATCAATGAAATCATGTGTTAGATTGCATCCGAAGCTTTTTCATATACTTTTTGGCATCTGCTAATATCAAATCATCTATTAGGTAACTGTAGTTTTATTTACAATTTTTTAGTCTAATTTAACACATTATTTTTCATAAAGAAAACAACATGGGAAATTGAATAGTATAAATTGTACGCGGAGAACGAGTGATCTCCACGATTTTTTAACTTCTTTGTAACTTCTTTAAAAAAAACTTCTTTGTAATTGGAATAATATATTAGGGAAATTATAACGTGTGCACAATCTATATATGATATATACTCACTTTTCAAAAACTCTACCAAATCATTTCTACTGAAGTTCCTTGGACAATAAGTAATGCATGGTTCAACTAAAAAATAAAGGGAAAATAAATAAAATTTTTTTATGTAATATATATGATATAGGTGAGGATATATGTATATATATGTATATATGTGTTTGATGTATATGTATTATTATAATATTGAGGTGGAGAAAGAGATGAGAGGAAGAAGAGACGTTAAGAGAAAAGGAGGTTTTATACTTCTTAACTTACTTCTTTTACAAAGAGGTAACTCACATATTTATACAGAACTTTAAATAATATAATAAAGGAGTTACCGACTTACCAAGTCGGTCTATGTCGGTAAAAGTGATGAGGATAATTATCTTCTTTAACACTCCTCCTTAATTATCCATTAATATTTATAGATTGCGTATTGCCTCGTTAAAAAATTTATCATGAAAAAACTCAATGAGATAAAAATCATGACAAGAGAAAAAGAGTACAGTAACGTAATTTCCCCCTGGAATGATGGATATAACGTTCTCTTCGTAAATCCCGCAAATGACACATTCCGATACTTTGAATATGCTTTCTGAATACTGTAGTAGGAAGCGCCTTTGTAAAGAGGTCTGCCGCATTATCACATGAACGAACATACTGAATATCGACTTCTTGATTCTTCTCGAGCTCTTGAGTATAAGAAAAATCTTGGAGGAATATGTTTTGTTCTGTCACTTTTGATGTAGCCTTCTTTTAGTTGAGCAACACATGCAGCATTATCTTCGAACAATCTTGTCGGTTCTTTGTTAATGACTATTCCACTTGCTTCTTGTATATGATGAGTCATAGATCTGAGCCATACACATTCTCTACATGCTTCATGAAGCGCAATAGTTTCTGCATAATTTGAAGAAGTGGCGACCAATGTCTGCTTTTGAGAACGCCAAGAGATTGCAGTTCCTCAAAACGTAAAAACATATCCAGTTTGCGATCGCGATTTATGGGGATCTGATAAATAGCCTGCATCTGCAAAACCGACTAAACCAAGTTTGGAGTTTCTAGGGTAAAACAATCCCAAGTCAATTGTTCCTTGAAGATAACGGAATATATGTTTTATTCCATTCCAATGTCTGCGCGTAGGAGACGAACTATATCTTGCAAGTAAATTTGTAGCAAAAGCTATATCCGGTCGGGTACAATTAGCAAGATACATAAGTCCACCAATAGCGTTCATATAAGGTACTTCAGGACCTAATATTTCTTCGTTATCTTCACAAGGTCGAAACGGATCTTTTTCCGTATCGAGATATCGATTAACCATTGGAGTACTCAAAGGAGTCGCTTTATCCATACAAAAGCGTTTTAATATCCTTTTAGTATAATTTGATTGATGTACGAATACTCCATCTCGGAAATGCTCTATTTGTAATCCAAGACAAAACTTTGTCTTTCCGAGATCTTTCATTTCGAACTCTTCTTTCATATGAGTTCTTGCATCATCAATCTCCTTTTGAGTTCCAATAATGTTCAGGTCATCCACATAAACAGCAATGATCACGAATCCTGACGAAGATTTCTTAATAAAGACGCAAGGGCAGATTGCATTATTCACATACCCTTTCTTTGTCAAATATTCGCTTAAGCGATTATACCACATGCGTCCGGATTGTTTTAATCCGTAAAGTGATCGCTGTAACTTGACCAAACATATTTTTTTCGATTTGGAACTTAATGCTTCAGGCATTTTCAATCCTTCTGAGATTTTCATATAGATATCATTATCAAGTGATCCATATAAATATGCTGTCACAACATCCATAAGGTATATTTCAAGATTTTTGGATGCCGCAAGACTCATTAAGAATCTAAAGGTAATTGCATCCATAACCGGGGAATAAGTTTCTTCATAATCAATTCTCGGTCTTTGAGAAAATCCTTGGGCAACAAGTCGGGCTTTATATCTTGTCACCTCATTTTTCTCATTTCTTTTTCTCACAAAAACCCATTTGTACCCAACCGGCTGTACATCTTTAGGTGTTGTGACAATCGGTCTAAAAACTTTTCTCTTATTGAGGGAGATCAATTCAATTTCTATGGCCATTTTCCATTTCTCCCAATCAGATCTTTTCTGGCATTCCAATATGGACCTTGGATCTGGATCATCAATTTCATATTCAATATCTTTGCATACAGAGAATGAAAATATTCCATCATTATTTTCTATTTCATCTCTAGCCCATAATATCCCATCTTGGGCGTAATTGATGGAAATCTCATGATTTTCTTCGTCATTTTCGTCTTCAGGACATTTCTCTGTATGTGGTTCTTCTGGACCATTTTCATTTTGTTTTCCCAATTTATTTTTCTTTCGGGGATTTTTATCCTTTGAGCCGATCGGCCTCCCCCTCTTCAACTGAACTTTGGGTTCATTTGCTATTTTCCATCATTTTGTTCTTCCGGAACATTAATTCTCGATGGAACATTTGCAGCGGGTATATATGACTTTGTCACCCTTTTCATATCTGTGAACGCATCTGGTATTTCATTTGCCATATTTTGTAAATGAACAATTTTCTGAACTTCGAGTTCACGTTGTTTCGTAGGGGGATCAAGGTGCAACAAAGATGGTGTGCACCATGTAACATCTTTTGGAACTTCTTTAATTCCTCCCCCTAACGCTGGAAATTCATCTTCATTAAAATGGCAATCGGCAAAATGTGCCGTAAACATATCACCAGTTTGCAGTTCAAGATACCTAATTATACTTGGTGATGTATAACCGATATATATTCCCAATCTTCTCTGTGGCCCCATCTTAGATCTCTGTGGTGGGGCTATAGGAACATAAACCGCACACCCGAACACACGCAGGTGGGATACATTTGGCTCCTGGCCAGATGCTAATTGTATTGGGGAATATTTATTATAAGAACTCGGTCTTATCTGAAGCAATGCCGCTGCATGCAAGATAGCATGACCCCATACTGAAATTGGGAGCTTTGTTCTCAATATTAACGGTCTAGCAATGAGTTGTAACCGTTTAATCAATGACTCAGCCATGCCGTTTTGTGTGTGAACATGTGCAACAGGATGTTCAACATCAATTCCCAATGACATACAATAATCATTAAAAGCTTGGGAAGTGAATTCACCAGCGTTATCAAGTCTCACTTTCTTTATCGTATAATCATGGAACTGCGCTCTCAACCTGATTATTTGGGCAATGAATCTTGCGAAAGCCGTATTACGTGTTGTCAATAAACACACATGTGACCATCTACTAGATGCGTCAATTAATACCATAAAATATCGAAATGGCTCGCATGGTGGGTGAATAGGCCCACATATATCACCATGTATTCTCTCTAGGAATACTGGAGATTCATTCCCGATTTTAGCTGGTGATGGCTGAATTATAAGTTTTCCTTGAGAACAAGCATTACACATAAATTCTCCCGATTGAAAAATCTTCTGGTTTTTCAATGGATGGCCATTAGAATTTTCCACAATTTTCCGCATCATGACTGAACCAGGATGCCTTAATCGTTCATGCCAGATTTTAAATGTACTAGTAAACTTCGGGTTTACTGTAACATATGATTCAGTCATATTTATCTTTGTGGAATATATTCCGGAGGATAATGCTGGTAATATTTCCAGTACAACTTTTCTCTCCGAAATAACTGATGTAATGCAAAGATATTCAATGCCATTCTTATTCATAGTTTCTATGTGATATCCATTTCTGCGGATATCTTTGAAACTTAACAAATTTCTGTAAGATCCAGGGGAATATAACGCATCACTTATTTCAAACTTTGTTCCCCTTGGCATTGAAAAACTGACTCTTCCGGAGCCCATAATAATTTTTGCATTACCAGATATTGTATTCACGCTTCCAGCGGAATCTTTCATATTAAGAGAGGAGAAATATTTTTTATCTTTTAATATTGTGTGCGTTGTCGCACTGTCTGCCAGACATATATCTCCATCCTCGATCTTAATCTTTGACATTTTCTGAATTTAAGATATTCATAAAAGATAAATTAATATAGGAAAACAAAAGAGTTTATATTATAATAAAAAACTTTTTTTTTACAACAAAAAGTACATTTTTAAACATTATATTTTACATTTTTATTTTTTTCACACTATGTATACATCATGTCACATCTTCTTCTTCGAGAAGATTTTACTCGTTTTGTTTTTCGTTGATATCTTCAGGATCAACGATGAAATCAGATATATCGAGATTTGTATCATCGTTTATACCATCAAAAGAAAAACTGATTCACCATGGATGAAGTTGGTTTCACTTTCTTTTCCTTTCGCCTTTTCCGATTCTCGGTACAGATCGGCTAAATGTTTTGGCGTACGACAGGTACGAACCCAATGTCCTTTCATGCTGCATCTGTAGCAAGCATTCTCATGTTGCTTGCGACCAACTTCATTACCTTTGAACTTTTTGTTATTTCTTCCATCGTTTAAATCAGCAGGACGAAATCTTCTTCCTCGTCCACGACCTCGACCACGTCCAAAACCTCGTCCACGACCACGATCATTTCCGCGACCGCGTCCACGTCCACTTTGCCAATTTTCATGGCTTGACGATGCAACATTCACTTCTGGGAATGAAGCTGATCCAGTTGGACGAGTTTGATGGTTTAAAATCACGAGTTCATTATTTTGTTCTGCCACCAAGAGAACTTGCATTAACTCCGAATACTTCTTGTATCCGTTTGCCCGGTATTGTTGCTGCAGGACTACGTTTCCAGGATGAAATGTTGAGAGAGTTTTCTCAATCATATCATGATCACTTATATTTTCTCCACATAACATTATCCTGGAAGTGATTCCAAATAGAGCGGAGTTATACTCACTAACGCTCTTATAGTCCTGGAACCGGAGATTCAACCACTCATGTCTAGCCTTTGGTAAGATCACATATTTCTGGTGATCAAACCTATCTTGGAGTGATTGCCAAAGATCTGCAGGATCTTCTTTCGTGATATATTCATCTTTTAAACCATCATGGATATGGTGGAATAAAAAGATCATGGCTTTCGCCTTTTTCTCTTCAGGAACTGTTTTTGTTTTATCGATGGTATCAAGGAGCTCATTTCCTTTTAAATGCATTCTTGCAGCTACTGCCCATCTCATATAATTTCTTCCAGAAATATCAAGGGCGGTAATCTCGAGTTTTGTCAAATTCGACATGATAACTGTTACCAATATAACAATTTATAAATTTGGTCATAATCCAGTTTTTTTTAAAAAAAAAAAAAAATCTAATTTTAGTAAAACATGATAAAATTTTAGAATTCATAAACGTAATAAAAACTGAATTTAAAATACTGAATTTAAAGTAATAATAAACAGAAATTAAATGACAGTAATTAACAGAATTTAAAGAACAATAATTAAAATAAATATTCGTCTTCTGGACGAAATTAATTATACAGTTCTTCAAGAACGCTTTTATATATCTTCTGGATATATATTTTTCATATAGTTCTTTTGGAACTATTCTTTTTCATATGTCTTCTGGACATATTTTTCTTAGTTCTTCAGGAACTTTTCTTAAATGTCTTCTGGACATTTATTATATGGAAGTAATGATCTGAGGAGTCAACTACCATATGATCATAAACCAACCATATATTTGATCTGAGGAGACATAGTCTACCATATGATCATGATCGTAAAGGCATAGCCTCCATAACGATCGGTTCGGAGAAGGCAGCGCCTATCATCCCGACCATAAAATATAAACATAAAAGTAGATGGATTGAACATAAATTAAACCTCACCTTTTTGGTATAGGAACGGTATAAGAACGGTTCGTGCTGATAACGTTTTATGTAATATATATGATATAGGTGAGGATATATGTATATATATATATATGTATATATGTGTTTGATGTATATATATTATTATAATATTGAGGTAGAGAAAGAGATGAGAGGAAGAAGAGACGTTAAGAGAGAAGGAGGTTTTAGAGCAGCTCTAATAGTGTAATTCAGCTTAAATCTCTTTAGAATTTTTTATTATTTTTTTTTTGAGAAGGTGATATGTGGTAAGAGAAAGACTCGGGTTTCTTTTTCCAATAGCAAAGAAATAAATTTTCAACAAAAACAAAAATTATTCTCATAAAAATTGAACGACCAATAGCCTTACTCCACGTCACCAACGTAACCGTCTCCTGCGCTCCTTATTAAAGGATCGATCCATCACATTTTTTAAGTTTTCAATTTATTTTTAATCAAATTTGTCTAGGATACTGGGACAAAAAATGGGAAAGAAACGCTGATGGAGTTATTTCTTAATTTACTTCTTTTACAAAGAGGTAACTCACATATTTATACAGAACTTTAAATAATATAATAAAGGAGTTACCGACTTACCAAGTCTGTCTATATCGATAAAAGTGATGAGGATAATTATCCTCTTTAACAAAAATATATTATGTAGTTGGAATTTCCGTTTTAAGTAGGAGGCGAGTAGCGCGGGTTTTTTGGTTTACTGTAATTTTGTGGTTTCATATGAACTTGTCAAAGACTCCTAGTGTTCTTTAACCCTAATTTAATTACAAAAGGTGAAGATCTCTTTTAGAATACTTAAAACAACTCCGATGACGTGACTGATGATGCTAATTGTTTCCTTACGTATACCTTTTTATCTTATTTTGAATAAACACCAATATTCTCGATATATGCCGCATCAATTACATACATCGGATCAATTACGGTTTAATGTTTAAAGTAAATGTATCTATTTTGAACACGGTAGATCAACGTGACAAAATTTAATTCATTGATTACGTCTCCATTACTCCATCTCATATGTTTCACAGTAATTCACACGCTAACAGTTATATAAAAACAAAAATAAACTATATACCTCGATCAGTTATAACTTTTTTTAGCAGCTAATTTTTTTTAAAATTTAAATTGCGAAAGGGTGATACAAAAAGTTCATTAACCAAATTGGATGAAAATTAAAAGAAGAAAAAGATTTATAAATGAAGAAGTTTTGTTCCAAGTTTTTATGTTTTATAAAAGTAATTTCGCCAAAATGTTTTTTCAATTCCATCTCACACATTATATAACTAGATTAGTCAAACGTTTTCATCGGTCAAAGAACATTTTTTTTTAACTTTCTAAGTTGTTATACAATTCAATTTTTTTTAATTTATCCAGTAACAAGTTTTCTCCATCTAATGAATTTGTTTTTTTGTGATTCAACTATTTTGTAGACATTTTTGTTGTTGTCACGATGCTGACATAAAAGAGAGTTTTAAACCATATATTTGAATGATATTTTTGGTTGACAAAATATATCGATACATTCTTTGACCATAATTAATAATGATTCACAAAGTTGAACAAGGCCTGATGGACTATTCCATGGATTCTATATCAAAGCCATTATTTTTCTTGGTATTGTTGAAATCCATTGATTACTATATCAATTGTTACTTTCTAAGATATTTATTTACAAGATTAAGTATGAAAAATCTAGTAATATACTCAACTAAAAAATGTAAAATATATTTGATTAAAAAACAATAGCCAATAATTTAATAGGAACAATTACTGGCAGTTTAAGCCTCTCTACTAGTAATACTTTTTTCTGCTACAAGAGTACAAGTACTAGTAAAAGCCTATTAAGGAAATATTATGATACTCTAAGTTGAACTACAATTAATCTTCCTGTAAATTTGCAATTAATAATCACACGGTTTTATCTGGAAGTTATCTTTTGCGAGGTAGTTTCCCGAGGCAAAATCTGAGTGGCTAATTCGTAAATTTCTCAAACTCCACGGGCACAGATATAAGTAACTTTCGTCTCCCATAAAATCGGTTGTACGAAATTAAAATCGGATCTCACACACAGTAGAAAAAAAATTCGAAAAAGAGGGGCCCAGAGAGAGAGGAGAGAGAAGAGAAACGGCGGCGATGACGTTGCAGAGAGGTTTGCCTCTTCTCTGGCAGCAGTACACGGCGCTCTTCTGGAAAAACCTTCTTCTTTCATGGCGGAGCAAGCGAGCCACGTTCCTTCAGCTATTCGCTTCCTTCTTCTTCATCCTCCTCATCTTCTGTATCCAGGAGGCTATGGAGAAGAGCTTCGCTTCCTCCACGGCTCTCAAGACTGTTACCGATCCCACGGCTCTCGTCTCGCCGCCGATTCCTCCTTGTGAGGATAAGTTCTTCGTGAATCTTCCCTGTTTCGACTTCGTCTGGAGCGGAAATCGTAGCCCGCGGGCGAGAGACATTGTTGACGCGATTAGGGCGAATAATCCGGGGAGACCGATTCCGGAGGAGAAGGTATGTATGGTGTCTCTTTGATTTTGATTTTCTAGTCAAATTGCGCAATTAAGCATTTCCTCGTGAGAGATTGAAGTAGATTTAGCGATGAATTCTAGATATTTAAGAGAAGCTTTTACCCCTAAAGAAACTGAAATTGATACTAGAAGTGGCATCCAAATGTGTAGATTGATTTATATAATCCAAACAGATCTGTGCAAATTCAAGGAATCGTTTATGGTATGTGGTCTGTTCAGGTTCGACCATTCGGGACTCCTGATGAGGTAGATGCGTGGCTTATGGCGAATCCCTTGCAAACTCCAGGAGCCTTGCACTTTATGGAGAGAAATGCTACAGTTATTAGCTATGGTATTCAAACAAATTCAACTCCAGAGATGAATCGAGGGAGGTTTGAAGATCCCACGTTTAAGTTCCAGATACCGCTTCAAATAGCCGCTGAGCGTGAAATCGCAAGATCATTAATAGGAGGTTTGGCATATGTTTTCTGTATCTTGATGAAATATTTTGTGCCTTGTGGCAAGTGGCAACAAGTGTTGGCTCTGACATTTGGATTTATTTTGCAGATCCAAAGTTTAACTGGGTTGTCGGATTTAAGGAATTTCCGCACCCGACTATCGAAGCTGTTGTTGCATTGGACACGATAGGTCCGACTTTCTTCCTTGCTGTCGCCATGTTTGGTTTTGTTCTTCAAATCAGTTCTTTGATCACTGAGAAAGAGCTTAAACTTCGCCAGGTATTCGGTTTTTCCTATATAGGCTGTTACCACTGTATATATATTGTACGTTGATTGTGTGTTTAACTTGTTTTTTTTTTCAATAGGCAATGACGATGATGGGCGTTTTTGACACTGCTTATTGGTTGTCATGGCTTACATGGGAAGGGATTCTTACTGCTCTCTCGGCGCTCTTGATAGTTCTCTTTGGAATGATGTTCCAGTTCGACTTTTTCTTGAAGAACAGTTTCCCTGTTGTATTCTTACTTTTCATGCTTTTCCAGTTTAATATGGTAAAACTGCCTCCCTAAGACTAACGTGAATACCTATTAAAGGATTTATGTATTTTTGCTTTCTTCTTATATTTTCTATTATTTGTGTTGCTAGATTGGACTAGCATTCATGCTATCAGCTTTTATCAGCAAGTCATCTTCTGCAACAACTGTCGGCTTCTTTGTGTTTCTGGTTGGATTTGTAACACAGGTGCCGTTCTCATGCAAAACAAATAGCTGAAACTGTTACTTCGAACTATGAATTGTTACTAATCATGGATCGTACTGCAGCTTGCAACATCGAGTGGGTTTCCCTATGCCAAGAATTTTTCTCGCACGATCAGGGCGCTCTGGTCACTGTTCCCACCCAATACCTTTTCTCAGGGCCTAAAGCTGCTTGCTGATGCAACTTCAACTCCTCAAGATCCTGGAATTAGTTGGAGTAAGAGAGCAGAATGTGGACCCAACGATGACACTGATTGTGTGATAACAATTGTACGTCAACTCTAACAGTAAATTCCATCTAATAACTGTGTCCAATTGTTCTCTGATCATTACATATTTGGTTTTGGCAGAATGATATTTACTTGTGGCTTCTTGGGACATTCTTCTTGTGGTTTGTTATGGCTCTCTACTTTGACAATATTGTTCCAAATGCGTCCGGTGTAAGAAAATCTATCTTTTACTTCCTAAAACCTGGTTACTGGACCGGTAAAGGTGGCAACCGAGTGGAAGGTACATTCTCCTCGGTCTTCTTTCTGTGTTCATTTGTAGTTTTGGTGTTGAAAAAGTTTTCAATAATCAACCTTTTCTAACCTGAGCAGAAGGTGGAATTTGTAGCTGTACTGGTTCAGTCCCTCCTGTGGATCATATCACCCCAGATGACGAGGATGTCCTTGAAGAAGAAACGTTAGTTAAACAACATTCAATGGACGGCGTGGTTGATCCGAACCACACCAGTTCAAATACGTGGTCTTGCAAAGACTTATCCTGGGACGACGAAGTTCGGATGCTGCAAGTGCAAAAAAACTGCTCCGTATCACGCTCTGAAGGTATTGCTTCTAAGAAAACAAAAGTGAAAAACTGATCTTCCTACGTTGGTTCTTTGACAAAGATGTAACTAGGACTTGGTGAAAATTTTAACGATTATTTCTACTTGTGGGTTCTCCCATGATACGTGTTTCAATTATTCCTTAACTAATTCTTTGAATATAATCAGGGGTTGTGGATGAATATTGCCAAAGATCAACTATTCTGTCTTCTTGGACCCAATGGCGCAGGGAAAACAACTACTATCAATTGTTTGACAGGCATAAACCCAGTTACCGGTGGTGATGGTAAGACGCTTGCACCTTTTTCTTGTTTTTGTTTCGTAGAGGCTAGTGTCTCAATAATTTCACCATACTAAAACCTCTCTTCTTGGCTTAAACAGCACTAATTTATGGAAATTCTATAAGAAGCTCTGTTGGTATGTCTAACATCCGCAAAATGATAGGAGTTTGTCCTCAGGTAGGCCAGTTTTTGTTGCTATCTGCTTCTGGCAGTTGCCTTAATTACAGCAATTTGTTATGCTTGAAATGTTCATTCAAAAAGAAATGATTTATCACATTCTCATTGTTTCCTCAGTTTGATATACTTTGGGATGCTTTGTCTGGTGAAGAACACCTCCGCCTCTTTGCTAGTATCAAAGGGTTGCCACCTGCTTCGATCAATTCGGTATGTTAGCCAAATGGTAGAAATGAGTTGGTTGGTTTCTTTAACAGTTTCCGCTAAGAATAGATGGTACTATCTAATTTCAACTTTACAAGAATAATTTGCGTCTTTTGTTGCTTAAAATGCTTCTTTCCTGTCCAACAGATGGTTGAGAAGTCACTGGCAGAGGTAAAACTCACAGAAGCAGGGAAAATCAGGGCAGGAAGTTACAGTGGAGGAATGAAACGCCGACTCAGTGTTGCAGTTTCACTCATTGGTGATCCCAAGCTGGTCTTCCTGGACGAACCGGTTTGCTACTCTCTACATTCTTATCTGAATATATGTTACGTTTATTCCACTGATGTTTGTTTATCTACCGCTTCCTTTTCACATGCGTTCTTTCATACATGGATTGCAGACTACAGGCATGGATCCGATCACGAGGAGACACGTGTGGGATATTATACAAGAAACCAAGAAAGGTCGCGCCATTATACTAACGACGCATTCGATGGAGGAAGCTGATATTTTGAGTGATCGAATAGGGATAATGGCTAAGGGTAGGCTTCGGTGCATTGGAACCTCGATCAGGTTGAAGTCACGGTTTGGCACAGGTTTCATTGCTAACATTAGCTTCGTTGAAAGCAACAACCAAGAAAACAACGGCAATAACCACAACGGTGAAGCTGGTGCTGCAGATTCACGCGAGCCAGTAAAGAAATTCTTTAAAGATGTGAGTCTGTTTTAGAAAGTTTCTCTATTACACTGCAGTTAACTGAATCCAACGCCTTCTGAGCTTTGTGGTATATTCTTGCAGCATCTCAGTGTCAAACCAATAGAAGAAAACAAGGCCTTCATGACTTTTGTTATACCGCACGACAAAGAAAATCTTTTGACTGTAAGCTTTTACACAACTTATCATATTATTGAGTTTACTACGTACCGTGTAAGTGATATCAAAACTTCTTTCCTTTCCTTAACAACGAAACAGGGCTTTTTCGCTGAGCTCCAAGATAGAGAAACCGAATTTGGAATCTCAGACATCCAACTTGGTCTCGCAACTCTTGAAGAAGTCTTCTTGAACATAGCAAGAAAAGCTGAACTCGAAAGCGCTGCTGTAGATGGAACAATGGTCACTCTCGACTTAACATCTGGCTCATCCGTGGAGGTAAATTACTAACATCTCATTACCTTCGTATCTATAGATAAGAGACGCGAGCTGATCCAATCCAAATATACAGATACCGGTAGGGGCAAGATTTGTTGGGATACCAGGAACCGAAACTGCAGAGAATCCTCGGGGAATCATGGTGGAAGTGTATTGGCAACAAGACGAGTCAGGATCATTGTGCATCTCAGGACATTCCTCGGAGATGCCAGTTCCTGAAAATGTTCCAGCGACAGATCCGGTGGCAACAGGACATGGCGGAGTAAGCTTGTTGGGACGGAGAGGAAGGAGACAACAAGTTCAAGGAATTGTGATTGATCCTGATTTTGTTAACAGGTTTTCTAGAAGCGGTTCTACTAGAAGCGGTTCCACTTCTTTCCGACGATCTTCATTGTGAAAATGGAAAAATCTAACACACTCACACAGATACACAGTTCTTTAACTTACCGGTGGACTCGGCTCCTCTACAGGTTATTTCTGGTGCTTTGTTGTATTTTTATACGTAATAACAAATCACGGACGTGTTTGTTTAAAATTGTTTTTACGTGATTATGATGTAAATTAGACGAAAGTTTGTGATTAAGTAACAAATATCCATACTGGAATGTTCATTTCATAATATGATTTAAAGATCGATCATCTGTAACTATGGTTCAGTTCCACAAGGCTATTCATCTAGATATGAATTTAAGAATTATAAAGTACTATTGTCTCTTCCTTTACAGAAAGGTATTTACATTTATAGGCGGAGGTATTTACATTTATAGGCGGTATTAGCACACTAATGTCGTGGTCCAAAAGGGTATTACACAAAACAAGAAGATGTGAAACAGCAATGCTATGGTGTAAGCAACATCGAGCTACAAAACTATTTATCTGTATGCATGCATGTACACAGCTTTAGTCACGCCGTGACTCTACATTTATGGGTCTTGACCCTTCCGGTGCCTGAAACAGAGCCGAGAAGCCAATGTTGTGGTAACTGTGTCTGAAAGAACAATGCCAAAATTGGTTTGAATTCAAGTGTCTACCTTTTGTCCGAAATATTTGATGATGTGAACCAGTAATCTATCTCCGGTTATACTTCTCAGTCGTTTAATCAACTCAGACCTCGAGATTTTCCTCTCCTGTGAGTTGCAAAGGAAACAACAACAAGAATGTTATGATGAGGATGAAACAGAGAGTTAAGAATCTCAAAAGAAAGAAAAACAAAAAACCTAAAATGCACTTACTTGCAGTTCTTTGTAGTGTTTTTGAATGAGACGGATTTGGGAAGGATTTAGAAACTTTGATATGGATTTGATCAATATCGGAAACGAAACCCAAGGCGATTTCGGGTTCTCTGCATCAAGAACATACCAAATTAGCCATTAAACAAACTGTTAAATGATTCAAAGAAGAGGGAAGAAGAACCAGCATGTTTTTGCTTACTTCTTTTCAATATTGATGGAGCTTTGATGCAAACAACAAACTCAGGCAAAACATGAGTGTTCATATGTGTGCTCCAAATAATATACTTCCTTGGAGTTGTTAAACTATCCACTCCTGAATCGAACTCTGTTGAGCTAGGACATGACTGTGTGGTCGATCCCTGAGGAACAACAATCTCAGACTTCCCCAATATAACTCTTGAAAGCAGCAAGAATCTAATCCCATCTTCATCACCTGAATCCTTCAGACTATATATAAAAAAAAAGACATTAATGAGACCAAAGAAATATTATAAACGCAAAAGAAGACAATAGAAAATGTTTTGTTGTTACCATTGAAGAGGAGCATTGTCTGGTGAGAGATGTAATAAGCCATCGTTGTTATTAAGCTTTTGCTGGCTAAATCCGTACATTAGAATCTCTTTTAACTCATTCTTCTCCACGCCGCACCAACCGTATTTCACTCTCGCCGCTTCAGCCGCGGCTTTGCCGCAACCGCCGTTTTTCTCCGCCACGGAATCTGTGTATATCCGAAAGGCTTTAAGCTTAGCTTGGCCCAATGGGCTTTGAAATCCGCTCCTGAGAATCGATATGATCTGAAATTGAGGAGTCAGGTTAGATTGGCAATGGCGATGGATTAGCTCGTAGACTTTATCGTCTTTAGGTAACTCCATTAGCTCGAGCTCGTTAGCAATCGACGATGGTTGATCACAGTCGGAAAACGCGTCGTTGCTCCCACTTTCCGATGATATTGTTGATCCTTCTTCTTCTTTGTAACGGTTTAGCTCCGTTGCCGGAAAATGGAGACGGTTAACCGGAGCTTCTTCGGTTTTGGTACAATCCATTGCTGAGAAACAAAAAAGAACAAGAAATTAGCCTCAAAATTAAGAAATCTCATCATTAAAATGAAACTTCAAAGAACAAAGAAAAAAATAGTAGATGCAAATTCAAACCTTTTTAACAGTTTTAGATGAAATATAATGTTTTAGCTTTTGAGATCAGAGAGGAGGAATGCTTCTATTTTAACTGTAGAGAGACTGACATATCATATTTATATGTGAATAGTTTAAAAAAATAAAAAGAGATTTTTCTTACTCTGTGTTCTTCTTTTTCAAAGTCTTGCCTGTTTTGGTTTTGTTTGTCTGTTTCTCATTTCTTATAATATATATTTATATTTTCTAAAATTGGAGTGATTTGTCTTTTCCCTTTTCTTGAAGAAGAAGTATCCACATTCACACGATAACATTTATCCCACTTAATTAATTAACAAAAGCACGAACTCGTAATTTTGAATCCTACACGTTCTAATTTGCAATAAGTACATTAATGATCAGAATCTCGAAAATTTTAAGTTTCTAACCTTTTTATTCACGCAAACCTTCTACTAATCTTGTCGACATTATTTTTTTTAACGAAATTTTCAGCAATGGTTTTTTTTTAGCCAGTAATAATTTTTAGGTAGATTCGTCTACCAGTTAATTTTCATTCAGTCAACCAATGTATGATTGTGTATAGTAATTATTAAGATCCACTTATCAACAAAATTTAAGAACTTTAAAACAAAAAAAACAAGTAAAAAGATTAAATTAAGAAATAGTAAAATATTACAAATATATTTGACAAGAAAATTTTTTACAAATACTATGATTGTGCGTGAAAAGGCCGAAGCCACTAGTTGGAGTTTGTCTTTGCGGCGCAAGCTGTTTTGTGAGAAGTGCCTGGCCGGTCGTTTTGACGAATTAGCAAGAAGACGAAATTGCCCTTATACTGGTGACTGGTCGTCGAGAGTCGAGACAACGAACTTGAATGGTTTTTGTTAACAGAAGTTGAAACCGTGAGGTTACGCGCGGGTTACAAACTAATTTTATCTAAATAATTGTCACGTGGGTTACTACTTATTGAATATCAACTAAATGTTACTTATTGACCCAATTGACAATTTTGATTAGTGGCCAATGAAGGAATATCGTCCACGTTTTTGACACGATTTTTCGTATATATAACTAGTATAACCTTATAAGAAAGAAATAAACGTGTATAATTATATTTTTCCCAAGGAATAGTTCAATTCATTAAAGAATAAATAATTAAGGATCTATCCAATAATTGGAAGCTTCGATTACAATCTATGTTGTCTTACGAATTACCAATTCAAGTGAGCAAACATGCAACATAAATTTTCATCAAAAAAAAATATGCAACATAAATCATCTTATGGTAGTTTTTTTCTCTTCATTTATCAGACATTCAGACTTATGCAACAAATTTTTTGTTGATTAGCTATTTGAGGTGAATTATTTAAATAAGTTAGTTTTGTAGTTGAGATGAAATAATGTTTATTTTTATTTATAAAGATGTTAATGAACCAATAGAGAACAAATGAAACTCTTCTTTTCTATAGATGATTATGCCTATATACCCTTTTGGTTTTAGTAACCTTTGTTGATGATTAATAGCTAGCTTTAAAAAAACTTACTAATTACATATTTGTTTCGTCTACATAGAAATATTGTAATGCGCTTTGAAATCAAAGAAATATATGAAATTTAGATAGTTTTAAATCAAATATACCAATTAAGATGCATGTTCAAAAATATTTTACTATTATAAGTTATAATTCTTCCGCTATCTTTTACCGTTATATTCACTATATTCACTATTCTTACTTGTATTTTTCCTAACTAAAAATACAGTTAACGTATCTCACACTGGAATACATTTTTCTATTCAGATATTCAAATTGCCAGTTAAGTGTGCTGGATTTTTTTACCAAAAAAAAAAAAAAAAGTGTGCTAGATTTGGTACAAATCTTGCATGCAATACCAAGAATCTAACAAATACTTGAAGCCTATATGTCGAGTGTTTTTACAACTTTGAATTATTTCATTTGGGTAATAGCCCAGTTAAAATTGACGGATGGGCTTTTCCATTTGTTTTTGTAGTTAGGTTTTGTTTTTTCTTTTCTTTTCAAACTATCATGCTAGTTACTATTTTATTTTCCATCTTTTTATATTAAAGTCATTAGGTCATGCAGAAGTTGATTTTTTTAATAGCCGGAAAGATTCCAGTGTGGTATATAAATTAGAACAAAAATATTAGGTAAATGAAAAAATGAAATTAGTTGAGAATAAATAGTGTGTGACAGTGTGAGTGTGCAACAATATTAGTTTATGAAAAAATAAATGTAATACTTTTATTGTAACATATCTGTATGCATTACATGTACCTGTATTCGCACTCATACGTACCCTGTAATCCTGTATTAGCCAATGCACTTATATTCTATGTGTCTACTAACTTATACGAACATATATCGTTTAAGATCCAATAAATAAAATATTTTTTTTTACTCTAATTAATTGATACCTAACAAACCAGACTTTTTAATTATATTCGGCTGAATTTATCAAACTTTTAGTTTTATTTCAAAATTTATTATCTTCCTTTTCTTTAATATGCCAATAATTAAAGCAATTGAACATGAGCTTTAACTACTTGTCCGCTATATCTACATATATCATATTCAGATAATCTCTTGTTGTATATAGGAATACAATAGTAATACCAACAATAGCTATTCCTTAACGAAAAGGGACAATTCTGACAAACTTGTTCAGTTGTTTGCTTCAAATAATGTGAACGTAAGTCGAAACCATTGGCTCAACAGCTGACAAAACAAAACCGGCTAAATAAATAAATGAAAACATTACATAACAGAGAACACAAACGCCAAAATCAATGATCAATACAATAAGAATGGGAATTAAAACTGAGAAGACATTTATAAAATAAATATAAAAAAAAACTCTTTATTGCACTAATTCTACTGCATAAGCAAACTTCGGATGAGTGCTGCTTGAGCTGAATCAGTTGATTCCAAAAGTTGAGACAATCTTTCACTAAGATCATCCACTTCTTTGTTCAAGTTCCTTATGTAACTGCATGTCTCTTGTAATACTTTTGATGCTGAGACCTGACATGTAAATAAAACGAGTTATCAGATATATACATATACTGATATATAAGAAGAAGGATCTAATCATTTTATAAGAAATCGTGAACTATTCCATTTATTGTCAATTAAATTTGAATTGAAAATCCATAATCCTCACAGACTATTCTCTTAAAAAAGTAAGAGAAGTCATCACGATATTTTAATATGTGTGGTTTTTATCATTTTGTTAACTCAAGAGTTTAGTGTATCAGCTTTTCTTGTTTTGATTCCATTATAACCAAAATTCCAAGAATTTGTTAATTAACCCTAACTAAAGGCTTTAGTTTGGTTGCAAAATAAGGTAGAAGTACGGGATTAATATTCAATAAAATAGTTTGCTAGAGCAAAATCAAAGTAAAAAAGAAGTATCGTATACATAAAAATGATGAAAAAAAAAATCTTGAAATGGAGAATTGATTAGGCCATTGTACCTTTCCGGAGCGTCTGGTGTTACCAAGTTCGGGAAGAAGACGATGAAGCTGGTGGACAAGATCGTTGATTTGGTCTTCGGTGAACATGGAAGCTCCGGTTTGTCTGGACCGTGACTTTCGGCTAGACATTATGTAATATGGTAGAGTATATAGCTAGAGATTTATAAAAATTAGGGTTTACTGATCTTGTTGAAGTTTAGATATGTGAGTGTAAGTCTTTTGTTTGTATGTTATTTATAGTATAAGAGCAAGCGAACAAAAAAAAAAGAGAAGGAAGAATATAGAAGTGGAAGGAACTGCAACTGGGTTATATTAAAACATGAATGGTTTCAACTTGTGTTTATATAGAAGATTTTCATCCTTTTTAGCTTCATCGAATAATTAATAATTTAAAAAAGATACACAAATGTTTGGTCTTGCATGTATCCTGAAAATTGTAATTAATATTTATTGTAAAAAACGTTTTCTTTTTTTTTGTGAATACAATTTTTTTACAGTCATTCAAAATTTTTTTTTTTGTAATATTTAAATTAATCTGTGAATAGATGAAAACTCTGATCTGTGTTTATTTTTAGCGTTATTATTTCGTTTGGTCAATAAATAAATTTTAGCGGATAAAATAACAGAACTGCATTTTCTTTATTTAGCCTATAGTAAAAACCAGGATAAGGTAAACTAATTAGCCCCCTCCCTACATGGGATTAGGATCGAACCCAGGATATTGTCATGCTCCCTTACAACCACAAGAGCTCCACAAGGTCAACTGGTAGAGCTACCATCACTGGATTAGTTTCAGTTTCACATGATAGAATATGTATTTCATAAACACTAGTTAACAAAATTTTACTACAAAAAATATATTTATATTTTACCAAACACTTGTATTTGTGTTTGTAGCTAAATTTTGCCGCTAATGCTTATGATCACAAAATATTCGAGCTAAATAATTCATATACCAATGTAAGTTTTATCGACAATTTTTGCAATGAAAAACTGTTATATCTTATTTGCAAAAAAATCTTTAGCGTATAATTTTTTTTTATTTGTGTTAAGATGTATGTTTTCTTTTTTTATAACACAGACCACAGAGGATAGGAGACCTTTAACCCCAAACAACAAGACGCAATGTTACCAGCATCCTATCAAGATGAGCAACCCAAAAGGTAAATGCATGCATGCTTAGGGATGGACCTTTTTAAACCATGGTAAACAAATATCCCTTGATCTGAATTATTCCCATGAGATCGGCTAAGCCAGAGGAGCCAGGAGTGACCCATGTTTTAATGTTTGTTATTCTTATAAGATTACTAAGAAAAACATATCCATTTTATCCAATGAAAATAAAGTATTAGATTCAATTGGATTCTACATTATTTATTTTGCTCTTAATTCCATAACAAGGGTGATCCTAGACAAAAAATAATAATAATAATAATAATTAAAAGGCGATAATTTATTATACCTAGAAGGTTAGGATACTTTATTTCTTCGTCACGAGTAGGGGGATATATAGCACTAATGTTTCGAAACTTACCAGACAAAGGGAATATGCATGGTAATATGGTACCAAATTATTAACTAGTCCATGTATAATGCCCCGTTAATTATCGGCAAACTCGCTTAATCTTTGGATTAGTGATGATAAAAAAAACCTTAGTGTTCTATAAGACTATAATATACTCCCTTCGTTTCACAATAAGTGTCATTCTAACACATTTCACACAGATTAAGAAATTAATAAAATATACAAATATACCTTTAATTGATATGATTTTATAACATTTAATTACAAAGATTATTATCTTTAAATGAGGGATAAAACAGGAAATAAGAGTAAAAAGAAAATACAGAATGACACTTTTTTTTAAACAAAAAATGAAATCTAAAACGATATTTATTATGAAACGGAGGGAGTATTAATAATTATATATATTACATGCATATTGTCTTTATCAATTTTATTAGGTGTGATTGACAAAAAAAGTATATTAGGTGTGTCTGACACACAATAACCTTAGATTAAGATTCATCGATTAAAAATATTTTAGAAATCCATCCTCAGACCAAAACTCATAACTACTTTTTTTTTTTAAATACATACTTTGCATACATTTTCTAATTAGATTCGAATTCTAGAGAACTCTAAACCCACGGTTAATTCTTGAAAACTCTAGTCAACTTTTAAAACCCTTCAAGATTTTAGAGTCACATGCTTTTCTTCGGTTCAAGGCTAATCAATTGCCAAAAAGTAAATATCACAGAGGAATATAGTTGCATACTTGATCAAGTACGTATACTAATGTGTGCATGGACAGACAAATAAAATGCATATATAATTCAGTTGATTTTTTTTTATTAGAAATGAAAATTAAATAATTCCAATATCGTTGTTTTCTATTTTGAGTGTTCCTTTAGTTCGTTTTTGTCTCTCTTTCATTCTTATTTTTATATCATGCACACCAATCAGTTGGTTAACTGGAAATTTGGACTAATCAATCAAACGTTCGTTTATTTAATTCATTTAGATCTGATAACTACAACTATATTTCAAGAAATTAAAATTATTGTAAATGATTCTTCTTCCCATCGTATAATATTAATAATTTATGTGGAATTGGCAGAACTTTGGAGACAAACTACATAAATTATAATGATATGCTCATATGCATATAATTGTTTTGGACGATTTACCTTCGTTAAACTGTTATATATATATATATGAACTTATTAAATTTATTGAAGTTAAAAAAAGTAAGAACTATTTTCGAAAACAGTGAAATCCAGCCAATGTTAAAACAAAAGAAGGTGAATTCTTTTATTTATTGGTACATAATTACATAAAGGTCACCAACCTCCTCAGACAGTACTTTTGGAGTAGAATAGTAAACATTAGTGTTAAAAATTAGTGTGTCCTTCAAGATAAATCATAATTATATATAAACAATTTCTATCTTTGCAGTTATTGTTTTATTAGATAAAGAATATAAGTTGATTATATATATTGATACGAGCATGGATAAAGTGCGAACTGAGGGTCAGACCGGAAAACTAGTTCAGGTCGGGAATCAAGACCAAGTGGCCGACCTAAGCAAAGTCGAGGTTCAGGACGGGAAGCAAGACGAGGTGGCCGACCTAGATGAAGTTTTATCCGTGCCAACCGGTCCAATGACGCGGTCACGAGCCAAGAAGTTATCCATGGCCGTTTGGAGGTTAAGCACCGAGCTGATGGCCAAGAATGCGGATGCTACACTAACTGACCGAGCTGTAACGCTCTTGACCTACTCGGACGGTGTAGCTCCTTAATACTCTTTTTCCTTGCATCCGGGTTTGTCCCACTGGGTTTACCGGATGTGGTTTTAATGAGGTTAAGGGACCACATCATTCTTATCCGAAGTTAAGTCAATAGCCGTTACGAGAAGCCAAACGATCACTCGCGAAAGGAGCCGAAGGGATATTCAAAGGGAGCCGAGTGGTCAATCAACTTATTTAATGCTTTCATTTAATTTTCTTGTCTTTTGCACTTCTTTTACGACTCTATATAAAGAGTCAGACCCCTTTGTATTTGGAATTCACTTTTCATCAATATATTTGAAATTTTCTCTTGTTCTTTCTGAGTTCTTCTTTCTTAGGTGGTTAGCCTTGAAAGTTTTATTTGGTTTATCGAATTCAATCCATAGGATTCGATGCAGCCTTCATTTGCATCTTGTTTCGATTTCGTTCAAAGTAGTTTAGGGGCAACAGGATTTTCGAGATCAAGTCTCACGCCTGTTCATTCTTTACCCGCGAGATCAACACTTGGTGTTTTCCATCCCCTCGATCACTATCTGTTTCTCGCGAACTGGGCCTAAGGACCTTCGAGATAACCTCTCACCCCTTAGCATCTCTCCAATCGAACCGACTTTGGCCGAGTTTATCAGCCTCTACCAAACAAGCAAGTGCAAGTCCTAGGGAAATCGTATCAAGTGGTATCAGAACCCACTTGCTTAATCGGTAGTGTCTATCTATCTCTCTAACTTCCGCCTTTTCTCATCTCTTTTCTTCTGTTATTTCCGTTATAAAAAAAAAAGAAGTTCAAAAGTCAAAAAAAAAAAAAAAAAAAAAACCGAATTCTTTTCTATCTATCTTTTCTTATTCTTCTCCTTTCAAACATTTGATAAACCAAGGGACCTAGAGGCAGTCATCGTGATTCGATTAACTCCTTTAGAACCGGAAGAAAATCTCTTGTGGGTTTGTGAGATTAATAAGAGAGTGAGTGAATCAAAGAGGGAAACACTAGTAAGGATTTATACTACCAAGTTTGTTCTTTTTGCGAGGTATGTGCATGTCATCTGACTTTTCTCTGAGCGAGTGCGATTTCTACACATTCAGAGACGGTAACCACGTTCGCTGGTATACTCCCAAAGAAATGGAGGCCAAACTCAACCAGATCACCAAAATGATGGAGCGTATGAGTCAAAGGATGGATCGGCTTGAAGTTCAACCAAGGCAAGAGGAGGCCAACGATCAAAACCGCGAGGAGCCAATACATATCCGCCGGGATCGGAACTTTGAGCAAGAGATGGACAATCCATTCTATGCGGATAATCACTCATCCGGAAGCAGCCGAGTCAGGCCGCGGGGCAACCGCGGAGCACACCGAGGCCGAGCTGGAGGAGACCGCGACCGAGGCAATATTTTTCCTGCCAGAAATTACCAACGTGAAGGAGGACGACCTCAGCGACCAGTCCATGAACGACGAGAAGCCGAGCAGGCTCGAGGACGTAATGATAATGATCTAGGAGGCATGAAGCTACGAATTCCCCCTTTCTACGGGAAAAACGACCCAGATGCCTTCCTGGAATGGGAAAAGAAAGTGGATATCGTGTTCAATTGCCAGGATCTATCAGAGAGGAAGAAGATCAACTTGGCGGCTTCTGAGTTCAATGGCTATGCCATAGACTGGTGGGACCAGATCGTGACCTGTCGCCATCGAAATGGAGAGCAGCTGGTGGAGACTTGGGATGAGATGTCCACCCTCATGCGACAGCGGTTCGTGCCATCCCACTATCATCGGGAGTTACATACCAAGCTTCGGAGACTCACGCAAGGAACCAAATCCGTGGAGGATTACCATCAAGAAATGGAGCGCTTAATGCTCAAAGCCGACGTATTCGAGCCGGAGGACGCGACCATGGCCAGGTTTCTAAGTGGCTTGAACCGGAATTTG